AAGGAATACAAATTGGAAAAGAAAAATTGTCACTGCAGATGGCATGATATTATACATAGAGAATCCTAAAGCTGCCACCAGAAAACTACTAGAACTAATCAATAAATTTGGTAAAGTAGCAGGATACAAAATTAATACACAGAAATCTCTGGCATTCCTATACAATAACAACAAAAAATCAGAAAGAGAAATTAAGGAAACAATCCCACTTACCATCACAACAAAAAGAATAAAATACCTAGGAATAAACCTACCTAAGGAGGAAAAAGACTTGTTCTCAGAAAACTATAAAACACTGATGAAAGAAATCAAAGATGACATAAACAGGTGGAGAAATATACCATGTTCTTGGATTGGAAGAATCAATATTGTCAAAATTTGTCACTATTGTCAAAATACTACCCAAAGCAATCTACAGATTCAATGCAATCCCTATCAAACTACCTACCAATAGCATTCTTCATAGAATAAGAACAAAAAATTTTACAGTTCGTATGGAAACACAAAAGATCCCGAATAGCCAAAGCAATCTTGAGAAAGAAAAACAGAGCTGGAGGAATCAGGGTCCCTGACTTCAAACTATACCACAAAGCTACAGTAATCAAGGCAGTATCATACTGGCACAAAAACCGAAATATAGATCAATGGTACAGGAGAGAAAGCCCAGAGATAAACCCACAAACATATGATCACCTAATTTACGATAAAGGAGGCAAGAACATACAATGAGAAAAGACAGCCTCCTCAATAAGTGGTGCTGGGAAAACTGGACAGCTACATGTAAAAGAATGAAATTAGAACACTCTCTAACACCATACACAAAAATAAACTCAAAATGGATTAAAGACCTAAATGTAAGACCAGACACTATAAAACTCTTAGAGGAAAACATAGGGAAAACACTCTCTGACATAAACCACAGCAAGATCTTTTTTGACCCACCTAGAGTAATGGAAATAAAAACAAAAATAAACAAATGGGACCTAATTAAACTTAAAAGCTTTTGCACAGCAAAGGAAACCATAAATAAGATGAGAAGACAACCCTCAGAATGGGAGAAAGTATTTGCAAATGAAACAATGGACAAAGGATTAATCTCCAAAATATACAAACAGCTCATGGAGTTCAATATCAAAAAACCAAATAATTCAATTAAAAAATGGGTGGAAGACTTAAATAGACATTTCACCAAAGAAGACATACAGATGGCCAAGAGGCATGAAAAGATGCTCAACATCACTAATTATTAGAGAAATGCAAATCAAAAATACAATGAGGTATCACCTCACACCAGTCAGAATGGCCATTACCAAAAAGTCTAGAAACAATAAATGCTGGAAAGGGTGTGGTGAAAAAGGAACCCTCCTGCACTGTTGGTGGGAATGTAAATTGATACAACCACTATGGAGAACAGTAGGGAGGTTCCCTAAAAAACTAAAAATAGAGCTACTGTATGACCCAGCAATCCCACTACTGGGCATATACCCTAAGAAAACCATAATTCAAAAAGAGTCATGTACCAAAATGTTCACTGCAGCACTATTTACAGTAGCCAGGACATGGAAACAACCTAAATGTCCATCAACAGATGACTGGATAAAGAAGATGTGGCACATATATACAATGGAATATTACTCAGCCATAAAAAGAAACGAAATTGAATTATTTGTAGTGAGGTGGATGGACCTAGAGTCTGTCTTACAGAGTGAAGTAAGTCAGAGAGAGAAAAACAAATACCGTATGCTAACATATATATGGAATCTAAGAAAGAAAATAATGGTACTGATGAACCTAGTGGCAGGACAGGAATAAAGATGTAGACATAGAGAATGGACATGAGGACACGGAGTGGGGCGGGGGAAGCTGGGGCAAAGTGAGAGTAGCATCGACATATGTACACTACCGAATGTAAAATAGATAGCTAGTGGGAAGCAGCAGCACAGCACAGGGAGATCAGCTCGGTGCTTTGCAATGACCTAGAGGGGTGGGATAGGGAGGGTGGGAGGGAGACTCAAGAGGGAGGGGATATGGGGACATGTGTATGCATATGGCTGATTCACTTTGTTGTAAATCATAAACTAACACAGTATTGTGAAGCAACTGTACTCCAATAAAGATCTATTACAAAAAAACAAAAAGAAAAGAAAAAGAAAATCACATACCTGATAAGGATCTATTGATAGTACCCAGAATATACAAAAAACTCTTACAACTCAAAATTTAAAAAACAAAGAATCTAATTTTAAAATGGACAAAGGATTTCTCCAAAAAAAGATACACAAATGGCCAATAAGCACATGAAAAGATGCTCAATATCATTAGTCAGTAGGGAAATGCAAATCAAAACCACAATGAGATACCACTTCACATCCATTAGGACGGCTATAATTGAAAAGATGAACAAAAACAAGTGCTGGCAAAGATGTAGGGAAATTGGAACCTTTGTACACTGCTGGCAGAAATGTAAAATGGTGCAGCCGCTGTGTAAAAGAGTTTGTCAGTTTTTCTAAAAGTTAAACATAGAGTTTACCACCTGACCCAGCAATTCCACTCCTAGGTATAGATCCAAGAGAAACGAAAACATATGTCCACACAAAAACTTGCACATGAATGTTCATAGCAGCATTATTCATGGTAGCCATAAACCAATGGATAAACATCATTCAATGAATGGATAAATCATCCATATACAGTGAAATATTTTTCAGCCATAAAAAGGAATGGAGCACTGATATTTATTACATGGATAGACCTTGGAAACAAGCTCAGTAGGGCTTCCCTGGTGGCGCAGTGGTTGAGAGTCCGCCTGCCGATGCAGGGGACACGGGTTCGTGCCCTGGCCTGGGAAGATCCCACATGCCGTGGAGCGGCTAGGCCCGTGACCCATGGCCGCTGAGCCTGCGCGTCCAGAGCCTGTGCTCTGCAACGGGAGAGGCCACAACAGTGAGAGGCCCGCGTATCGCAAAAAAAAAAAAAAAAAAACAAGCTCAGTAATAGAAACGAGACATAAAAAGCCACATATTGTATAATTCCATTTACATGGAAAATTCAGAATAGGCAAACCCACACAGACAGAAAACAGATTAGTGGTTGCCGGGGCTGGGGGAGGGGGAATGGGGAGTGACAGTCAATAGGTATGGGGTTTCTTTCTGGGATGATGAAAATGTTCTGGAGTTAGATGGTAGCATAACCTTGTGAATATATTAAAAACCACTGAACTATATATTTTTAAATGGTGAATGTTATGGTGTGCAAATATCTAAAAACTTTTAAATCCCAATAGAAAAGATAAGTTATGTACAGAGAAACGAAGATAAGAACGACATCATATTTCTCATTGGAAAGAATGCAAGCTAATAGATGGTGGAGCAACATCTTTAAAGTATGGAAAGAAAAAACTGTCCTGGCAAAAATATCCTAAAGAAAAGCAAAATAAAGACATTTTTCAGATATACCCACACTACAAAAATTGCTAAAAGATGTCCTTCAGGCAGAAAGAAAGTGTTACAAGATAGAAATCTAGACCTACATAGCAAAATAAAGAGCTTGGAAATGGAACTACTTAGGTAAATATAGAAAATCTCGTCTTATTTAAGATACTAGACTTGTTATATTTAATAGTTTTATTTTCCTTTTTGTTGAGAGAATTATAGATTCTCATGCTGTTCTAAGAGATAATACAGAGATCCCATTTACCCTTCACCCAGTTTCCAGCAATGTTAACTTGTCTCATAGCTATAAAAGGTGACATTGCTATGACCCCTCGATCTTGTTCAGATTTCACAAGTTTCACACGAACTCCACTGAGTATATGTGTGTTTGTTTAACTTTATGCAATAAAATGAAATTTTATCATAATTGTTGCACATGTTAATAATTTGTTCCTTTTCCTTGCCAAGTAGTATTCCATAGAATAGCCATACCACAGTTTGACAGTTGGGTCATTACCAGTTTTTGGCTATTGGGAATAAAGTTGCTATGAGTATTTGGGCACAGGTTTTATTATGAATTTGAGTTTTTATTTCTCTGGGATAAATACCAAAAAAGGCAATTGTTAGATCATACAGTAGCTACATAGTTTTGTGAGCAACTGCAAACTGTTTTTCAGAGTGGCTGCACCACTTTACACTCTCACCAGCAATGCATGGGCGATCCCATCAGGGAAATGGAAATAAAAACAGGCACATCTTCCGTGTGCTTATTTGCCTTCTGTATGTCCTCTCCCTTGAAATGTATGGAAAGGTCTTTTGCTCCTATTCTAAGTGGATTTTTTAAAAAAATTTATTGTTTAATTTTGAGCTTTCCTTTACATATTTTTTAGTCCTTTATAAGATATGTGATTTGCAGGTATTTTCTCCCAGCCCATAGCTTTTCATCTTCAACAACTGGTCTTTCTCAGAGCAAAAGGTTTGAACTCTGAGGAGGTCCAGTTTACCAATTTTTCCTTTTATGGGTCAAGTCTAAGCAGTCTTTTCCTAGCCCTAGGTCCTGAGGATCTCCTCTTACTTTTTTCTAAAAGTTTTATAGCTTCATATTTTACATTTAAGTATTTAATCCATTTTGAGCTAATTTTCACATAAGGTCAAAGTTCATATTTTTGCCTACGAGTGTTCAAATTACTCCAGCATCATTTGAAATTCCATCCTTGAATCTGAAATTCTATCCTTACTCCATTTGCTTTTGCATTTTTGTCAAAAATCAGATGGATATATTTGTACTGAAGCTGTCTAGGGCCCGCCAGGAATCAGGGACAAAGACCAATATATATTTCTTATTGTGCCACAGTGCCGTTAACCACCCACTGCGCCCATGGGGTACCTCCAAACATTTCCAGGTTCCTCCCCAGCCCAGCCACCTCTCAAGGGGGCTCCAAGAGAACACTCCATCCTCCACAGACATTCCAGCCCCAAATCCTGCCTGGCCTGAGGCCAATGGTCTCCAGCACTGCCTTTCCCAGCCAGGATCCCACCCTGACCCATCAAACCCGAGCATGCACTCACGGTCCACGCGGAGCTCCGCTTTGGTAGAGGACACACCCACGCTGTTCTCAGCCAGGCAGCGGTAGACACCCATGTCTGCTGGCACCACAGCTGTGATGATGAGCTGGTGGCCGCCCTGCTGGTCCTCACTGATCATGTAGTGGTCATTCTCCTCCAGCACCCTCCCGTCCTTGAACCAGCGCACACTGGGCACGGGCTGGCCTGTCACCACACAGTCAAAGCTCACGGGATACCCATCCAGCACCTCCTGATTCTGTAGCTCAGTCAGGAACACCGGGGCTGGGAGGGACGGGCAGGGCATACGACACGTTAGCCTCAGGCTCCCCCAAGTTGCCCCAGCTGCCAGCAGTTCAATGTGTGTGATCTGCATGGCACCCATTCACATGAGCGCTCACAGAATGGGCGGCTAAACAGAATTCTGTCTCTGCCAACTGAGCTCTTCCCTCCTCCCCATGCTCTAGAAGAATCCTCTCTTCATTAGCCTGGTTCCCAAGCTACCATGAGGCCAGAGAGATAGCAGACAGGAAATGGGGAAGAAGGGGAAGTAAAGGGAAGACCAAGGTTGGTTGTCTGGGGTTGGAAGCACGCTAGTAGCTCAGAATTAAAGAGGAAGAATGATGCTGTGGGTTATTAATGATACTCCCTTTGTTGTTCCTAGGGAGATGCAAGTAAACAGTGAAATGACTTTTTAATTAACTTTAGGTGCTGGAGTGGGAAATGGGGCTCATGCTGGACTATGTGGAACCCCGCCTTTTGTACAGATTATATCTGAAACCCTCACGGGGGAAAAAATAACCCTAAACTCTAGGGTGTCAGTATTCCCGAATCCATTTCACAGAACAGAACTCTGAGGCTCCGAGAGGCTAATCAGTAGCAGGCAGAGCGGGGATTTCAGTTGAGCTCTGTCTAACCCCAAAGTCAGGGCTCCTCCCAGCTCAGTGGGCTGCATGTAAGAACAGCCAGAGCTATAGCCCCTTGAGCTAAACCTCCTTGAGTTTTCAGCTGACCCTGGTCACCGCTGCTGCCTTCGCTCTTCCTCTCCCCTCACCCCTGACCCAGGCAGCTTGCAGACTCACCTGCCTCTGCAGCCAGTACTGGCTCCGGAGGCGCTGCAGGGGTGGAGGCCACCTTGCCAATGCGCATCTCCACCCCATGCAGCCCCTGCTCTGACAGGCTGATGTCCACTCTGTTGTCCAGCGTGCCAAACATGTCCCGGAAGCAGGTGGCTGCCCGGCGGGCCTCGGCAAGCGTCTCGAAGCGGATGCAGATGGACTGTTCATCTTCGCGGTATGTCTGCCAGTCCCCAGGCTCCTCGGGCTCTGCCTTGCCCTTGTCAGCGCTGAAGATCTCCTCGTCTGAAACCTCTGCCGGGCCCTTGGTGCGGAACAGGCGGTGCAGCCGCCGGGCGGCCCGGCGGAAGGTGTCATCCAGCTCACTCCCGGAGGAACTCTCGGTCTCACTCTCCATCCCACTGACCACCACACAGGCACTGTGGGCCACACGGCCAAACTTGTTGCTCACCTGACAGGTATAGTGGCCAGCGTCGGCCCGGCCCAGGCTAGTGACCAGCAGAGAGCAGGTGCCATCCCCAAGCTGGTCAATGTGGTGGTGCCGGCCATCAGTCAGCTGCACACCGTCCTTCAACCAGTGGGCACGCACATCTGTCTTGCTGGACACTACACACTCCAGATGCAGGACATCTCCCACCTGTGCCACGGTGTCCCCAAACGTGTGGCAGAACACAGGCCCCTCCTGCTGCTGTATCTTCTTCCGGACCTTATAACCCTTGAAGGCAGCCTGGATCTTCACTGCTGCCTTGTCCACAGATAGGTCACCCAAGTCCCCAACGCTCAGGTCTCCTGGTGGTGGGGGTACTGAAGCTGGCTTTTCCTGCTGCTTTTGTGGCTTCCCAGAAGGGGCGGCTGGGGCCTCAACCTGTGTGCACAGATAAGGTGGGGCACCTGAGACCCGGGACAGGGAAAGGATCGTGTAGGGACACACACAGGGCAGGGGGAAGCAGAGCCCAGGTCTCCTGCCCCAGCTCCACGCCTTGCTCCTGCATGCCTGCTGCCTGCTACCTGCTGTCAACTGCACTACCTTCACTGAGGCCAAATGCCTGATGGCTTCTGTTGCTTCCAAAAAGCAAGCCCACCCTCCCTAAAACTGCTTTCCCCAGAGCAGGACAGAGTTGTGAGAAATACCAAGGAGAGATAGGTTCCAGCTCTTCAGAAAAGAAGTTTTAACAGCCAGGTGGATGGATGGGTAGGTGGATGGTCGCTGGATGGGTAGATGGATGACCAACAGATGGGAAGATGGTGGGTGGGTGGAAGAAAGGCTAAACGGATGGTGGATGGACCGACGGACAAGAGTGGAGAGATGATGTGTGGATGAATGACAGAGTGGCAAAGATCTAAGAGACCCAGGCCTCTCCTTGTAGGCCAAGCTGGAGACTCACCTTGCTGGCCAGTGGTGAAGCACTGGCCCTCCCAGCCTTCTTGAGGTAGGTAACCAGGGAAGGAGTGCCCGCACGGGACTCGTCGTCAGAGCTGGTGTGTGAGAGGTCAGCCTCGCCAGTGCGTGCCAGCTCGTCAGCCGTGGAAGAGTCCTCAGAGAGGTCGGGAGCCTCCTGCTCTACCTCCTGCCGCAGGCACTGCGGGCGTCCGTCCTCCTCGGGCAGCTCGCTGATGGAGTCCAGCGTAGGCTCTCGGCTCATGCGGCGCTTCCGGGCCAGGGCCTCCCACAGGAGATGCAGGTCGCCTTCCTGGGCTGCCTCAGGGGGCAGGCTGGGCTGTGTGGGGACCTCATCCCCAGATTCTGGGGTCAGCACCACTGAGGAGGGCAGGAAACGGGTCAGTCAGGCAGGGACAGAGCCATAACCCCAGGCCGGCCTTAGCTACTGACCACGGTTCCCCTTATAGGCCTCTGCTGCCTGCCTGGGCCCCCAGGAGTTCTGATGCACCCGGTATACAAGGTTTTCAAGGCTCTGAATGGCCCTCTCTAGGCCTCAGCATCCCCTGATCAACCCAGACCTCAGTCTTCCTCCTGCACAGGAGGGGATGACCACAGGGAACACCAGGCCAGGGTCAGGGCAGGTGCAGGGGGCTCAGAGTACAGGGGGCTCAGAGTGGAGGGGGTTCAGAGTGGAGGGGGCTCAGAGTGGAGGGGGCTCAGAGTGGAGGGGGTTCAGAGTGGAGGGGAGCTCAGAGTGCAGGGGGCTCAGGGTGCAGGGGAGCTCAGAGTGCAGGGGGCTCAGAGTGTAGGGATTCAACGCTTTAAAGAACCAGCAGTGGGCACCAAGGGCTGCATTGGCCAGGATCCCACTCAGAGAGTGATATGACCTCAGATGCCAATGATGTGGGTTCTGACAGGAGGCTGAGCCACAGGGATCTGTTCATCTCCCCACCCCAGGCCTCAGTCTTTCTTGGTGTGAGGCAGTGTCCTCAAGAGGACCTCCTGCAGTTCCCCGAGAGAACCAGTGAGCAAAAGGGCTGGCCCACTCCACATCCCAGGGCTCCTCCCTCCACTGGGCACGCTGGGCCCTGGGAGACATACCCTGGAAGGCAGCAGCTGCCACAGAGACAGGGTCCCGTGCAGGGGCACAGCGATACTCGCCCTGGTCCTCCGCTGAGAAGTCCCGAATCAACAGCGTCTGCCGCCGACCCCGGCAGAGAAGCTGGAAGCGCCCACTGGGCTGGATGCGCTCTGTTCCCTTCAGCCAGATGACCTCACCAGCCTCGGCCACCTCACACTCCAGACACAAGTCCTCCCCAGCTGCCACCTGCCGGCTCTCAGGGCCAGGGGGTGCAGGCGTGGGCTCCCGGGGCTCTGCTGGGAGAAGCGGTCAGGAACAGGAGGGGCGCATCAGTAAGGACACGGGCAGGAACCCCCGGCTTAGACAGGCCTTGAGGTCTCCAGGCTAGACCCCCACCCTCATAAACCAGGACCAAGGCAGCAACTCACCAAGCCTCACTGTCTGGGGCAGGTACACAGGCTCGCCAGCGCCTGCCGCGCCCACTGCGGCCACACGGAAGCGGTAGGTCTCCCCGGGGACCAGGCCATCCACCAGGCACTCGGGCCCGGGCACCAGCTCGTGGCACAGCTGCCACTCTCCTGTGGCCGCTGCCTTCACCTCTACCCGATAGCCACAGAGGCCGCCTCCGCCGTCACTCGTGGGAGACACCCAAGATAGTGTCACGGAGCTGTCACTGCGCCCCACCACCTCGGCGTCCTCTGGGGGGTCGGGGAGGCCTGCGGGGGCGGGCAGGAGGCACAAGGTCAGTGCAGCGGCTGGCAGTCAGCACCCGCAGCCCCGCCCACCCTGGGGTCTGCTGGTGGGGCACAGTATGGTCCACCCCTCAGAGTCCTGTGAGCAGCTGTGCCCTACAGCCCGGCCTTTCTGAAGGGGCGAGGATGGTGCGTTTGAGTCACAGGAAGACTGTGTGCCCAGAGGCCACCGAGCGTGGGGGGCCACGGAAAGCCCTCAGCAGCCTCTGAAGCTGAAACCTCCTGCCCCCCGACCTGTCTCCCCGAGAGCCCTGGACCCGAGCTGGAGCAGGCAGACCCAAGCCACCCACCCAGCACAGTGAGCCTCGCAGAGGCCACGGCATCACGGGCGGCGAAGGTGACCTCGCCGGCGTGGTGCAGCCGGGCCCGGTGCAGCAGCAGGGTGTGGTGGCTGCCTTCGGCGGTGACTGTCCAGTCTGCGTCGTCAGGCTGCACCGAGGCTCCGTTTATGTACCAGGTCGCCTCACCCACCGGCACTGTCTCGCTGAGCGTGCAGCTGAAGCTGGCCCGCCCCCCGGCCAGCACGGCTGCGTCCCGGGGTGCCTCCAAGACCTCCAAGCGCCAGCCTGTGGGGCGGGGTGGCAGTATGAGCTCAGGGGCCAAGGGGTGGCCTGGGGCGGGGCGGGGCTCAGAGACACCCATGCCACCCCCTCCCGTCACCCCCGAGAAGAGGAGGGCACCAGCCTCAGGTGGGAGTGGCCTCAGAGATCAACGTCCCCAAGGCTACCACCCCATGCTCCTGTGGGCAAGTCTCAGAAATCGATGCCCTTCCCAGAAGCCCCAGCTTCCCCCCCGCAACCCCGCACTCCACCCCTGACCAAGCAGCTGGGTACCCAGTGGGAGGAGTCTCTGAGACCCACACCCCCCTGCTGCCCCAGCCCTGGCCTACTACCCACAGCCAAATATCCAGTGAGAGGGGTCTCAGTAACCTATGCCCCCTCCTAGGACCCCACCCCCCTCGCACCCCACAGTGTGATATCTCGTGCTCGTGGGAGGGCTCCGAGAGGCTCATGCCTCCAGCATCCCTGGCCTCAGCCCCTCCCCCTGCACCCAAGCAGTAAGGTATCCGGTATCTGGTGGGAGAGGTTGAAGAGCCCCAGGTTCCCACACAGTGGCCCTAGTCCACCCACCCCCGCCCCCTGCAGCCTGTGGTATTTGGTAGGACGGGTCTGAGAGACTCACACACAGCCTGTGGTCCCAGCTCCACCCCCAGCATCCCTGCAGTGGGTGATCCCGTGGGAGGGGTCTCAGCGACTGACCGCCCCCCTACATCCCCACCCTCCCGCACTCTGGCAGTGGGGTATCAGTGGGAGGGATCGCAGAGAACCACCCTCCCCCCTTGGACCCAGCCCACCCTCCCGACCCCACAACTCTAACCCCGGACTGTGAGGAACGCAGATGTCACCACGTCCCCCGCCAGGAAGGTCACCCGGCAGCTGTCTCGAGGCCGCAGGTTTTTGAGCAGCAGCAGGTGCCGCAGGCCGTTCTCAAAGTAAACCACCTCGGCGTTCTCAGAGGTGCGCACCGGCTCATCATCCAGCAGCCAGGTGTGGGCGGCCACCTCCGGCTGGGACAAGAGGCACTCGAACAGCGCCTCACCGCCCTCAGGTGCCTCCACGTTCTCCAGGCCTCTCACCACAGTGTTCTTGGCTGCAGAAAGAAGGTGGCTCAGGGCATTCTCAGGGCTTCTCCAGCCCAGCACCCCCAAGAGTCACGTGGAAGAGCCCCCCTCAGGACAAAGGGCCTAAGAGAATGCAGCCAGGTGGGGGGCGTCTGGGTGTCCACCTGAAGTAGCCACACAGGGACTTCCCGAGGCCCTGCCCATCCCCATGCCATCACCAGACCTGCGGCTGGGAAGGAGGGTCCTCCCCACCTCACACATAAGAAGCCTCACAAATGTTCACAGACTGAAAATTCACTGGCGGCCACAGCCGGGCTCAAACCCAGACGGAGGTTTATGCCTCTCAGCTTTGCTGCAGCATGGGGCTCTGGAAAAGTGTTCCATTCCTTTCCTCCCCAAGCCAGGCTGGCAGACCTGTTGGGCTCTCCCCTCACTCACTCAGACCAGACAGACCTCTGCCCTAATTTTCAGCCTGACCTAATTCTCTTGTACATACAGCCCAGGGGTCAGTAATAAGCAGCTATGCATTTTTCATGGAAGCCATGATGTCAGGCCTGGGCATGCCAAGGCCCAGATCCAGCTCAATGCCTGGTCCCCAAGGGCTTGCCACCTCCAAGAGTCAATTCCCATGACAGGCCACCTGGACCCAAGGTGATCCAGTGGGCTTCAAAGTCCACGGGGGCTTCCTGAATGAGGTGGATCTCTGAGGATGGGTAGGGGAGGTGTCCAGGCAAGGGAAGAAATAAGAGGGGACACCATGATGGGACTGAAAAGGGATTTGTGGCAGGGGGGCAGCAGGGAGCCAGGCCAGTGGGGTGAAGGATGTAAAACAAGGTGGGGGGCAATAGGCAGGGGTAAGGGCAGGCAGGAAAGGAGCACCACATCACCCAAGGCTGTACAGGATGCTGGGGAGGTCTGGCCTTGACCCACACGACAGCAAGGAGCCACTGCGGTCACCGAGGGGGTGGCAGCCTGGCCGAAGCTCCAGGTCCACAGTCCCAGCTGCTGTCTGGGATATGCACCCCGAATGGAACCAGCACAAAGCCCTGATGCTCCCTCCTAGCTCGTCCACAGAGTCCACACACCCCTCAGGCAGGGGTGCCCACTCTGGACAGGGGTCCCCGAGGAGTTAAGAGGGGAGGGCATCTCAGAGCAGAGGACCCACGGGGCCCATCCACATCCCTCTCCTTGCCACCCTCCTGGCCCTGGTCTGCTCACATCACAGACCAGACTCCCCCCCATAACCCTGGCTCCTTTCCTCCCTAGGTCAGAACTGACAGAACCAACGGGGACCTAGGAGTGCATCCCACATCTCCACTGTGCTTGGACGGCTGCGACCAGCCCCATCAGGGCTGCAGCTGCTCTTGGCCGCGATGAGATGGTCGGGGACAGGGAGAAGGCTGGGCCTGCAATCAGCGCTGGAGTTCACCCTCCTTAGCTGCTATCCAAGGATCAATGCTGCTTTATTTCTATAAAAGCCCAGATATTAAAGCAGCAGTGGTGAGCCCCTGAGGCCTCCCTCCTGCCACATCTCCTGCTTCTCTGCATTTTGTTCTCTACTCCCTGCCTGAGGCCTGAAGGCTCTGCCCCAGATGTCCACAAGCCCCCACCCCCGCTGCCTCCTTCAGGCCCAGGTCCACACTGCAGCCCCTCCCCACAGCTCTTCTCACATTTTCCTTCAGCTCCCACAGGAATGTCACCCCCTGAAGGGAGAGAGTTTTGTCTGTTCACTGCTGTGCCCCCAGGGGCCAAAAAAAAAGTGTTTAAAAACTTAAGTTATTGAACTAGTGTGTGAATGGGGTGTGAGCGACCTCAGGCAGCCAGTGGCCCCGACCAGGTCCCATCTGCTCTTCCCAGCTTGGATGGCCCCCTGACAACTGCCTGACAGCTGCCAGCTCACTCACCACTGGGAACGTTTCAGGTTTTCCCAAATAGAGAGTGGCTTCAGCCAAATGGCACCTCCGCCCCTGCAGAGCTGCAGCCCATTGTCTCCCCTCCTTGGCCCCCCATAGGGTATCCTGGCTGTGTTGCCAGATAGGGAAGTGGGGCTCAGGGCATCCTCTGAGTGACCAGCCCGGGAAGGGGCAGAGCTGGGGTCTGAGCTCAGTATTCGTGGAGCTCAGCCAGTGGCCCTCCTCTGCTCTAGGACACAGCCCCCGTCTATGGCCACACAGGCCCCAGGCCCGCCCACCCACCTGCTTGCCTGGAGGCTGCCTCCCTGCCTGCCTCTACCTCCACCCCTCCCCGACAGGCTGAGCTGGATACAGATTCTTCAAGCAGCCTCTGCCCTTGTGTTTTCTAGCTGTGCTGTCCTGTCAGGCTGCCTGGGGAGGAGAAGGGGTCTGGGTGGGTAGGCTCAGAGCCTAGGGTCTGCTTACTGGGGTCCCATCTTTCTAGCACGCTGTCCCTGCCTGCCATTTCACCATTATGGCTCCACATGAGCAGCACCATAGCTGTGCTGGGCCTGGGGCTGCCCGCCAGACGGCCTCACCTTGCACTTGCAGCAGGGCCACCACGCGGGTGCCCGCGGCCTCACAAGTATAGATGCCGCTGTCGCAGGGCAAGGCCGGCCTGAAGGACAGCCTGGCCACGGTCCAGTCCTGCTCTATGATGACACGGCGCCCATCAGCGCACACCTCCTGCTCGTCCTTCGTCCACGTGGCCTGCACGGGCCGTGAGTACTGGCAGAGGAGTTCAGCCGGGCCACCCTCCTCCACTGCCAGGTCCTGCATGGCACTGACCACTTCCACTGTGGGATCTGTCGGCCGACAGGCCAGGCACGCGTCAGCTGGAGCAGTGTGACTGCGGCCCACCCACCCTCTGCAGTCAGCATCAGCGACTCGGAGGCAAGCAAAAGCAGGGCTGTGGTAGAAGGGGGACTCACCCCGGTGACCCAGGGCCCTCCACGTGGGGCAAACCTTGCCCCCATACACCCCCGCCCACAGCAGACTGTTGGCTCAGTCTCCATCCACTGGGCCTCTCCTAGCCACTGTTTCCCCTGAGCCCTCACTTCCTCTAGCCCAGGGCGCATGTTGTCCCAGTAGGACACAACAACCACTCCTGAAAGCCCTTGGGCCCGTTCGGGCTCCACAGCTCCGATGGGCACTTGGCACCCCCAGCCCAACTTATCCCTTCTCCAGGGGCCTTGTCGCCTGCCCCCTCAGGGCTCCCACCCCATCTCCATCTGCTGAAATCCTATTAACAAACGGTTTGCCCCTCTGACCTGGGCAAATGTCCACCTTTATTCTGCAAGAGCACGGAGGAGGCCAGTTGACAAATATGCCAGTCGAAGCCACACTGGGCTGCTGTGCCAGAAGTTGCCAGTGCCCCCACTGGGAGGGCAGCTGAGGGGGTTCCCTGGAAGCCCACTACCCTCCCCAAGGACTAGCTCTTTCCCAGCAAGGGCGCAAGACCCTGACCAAGCCAACAGCACAGGAAGCAGCTACAAGCAAGGACAGTGCAGGCCATGCCCAGGGCTGGGAAAGCTGCCTTCACCTCCAGGCTGCTCTCTGGGTATGTGACTGAGGGAGGGGCAACCGCAGAGTGGTGGCCAGGTGGGCAGCCGTGCCCAGGGCCCTATAAGCAGGTGGGAATGGGGTCGGCCTCCAGTTTCACTGCTGAGTCCGGCCTTCTTTCTCATCCCGCAGGTGGGACTGCAGCCTGCCCACAGTGCGCACTCATGGTACACACAGAGAGACGCCCAGTCTGCGTGCTGGAGGCCAGTCCCTGAACTCCCACCCTGGGAGCCCGCAGGAAGCGTGCAGGGGCAGCAGGGGCAGAAGCTCCAGCATAGGGCAGGGTTCCATCGGCTGGTACCTTTGACCAACAACTTGGCCCTGGAGACCAAGGGCCCTGCACGGAAGGTGATGGTGCCTGAGTCAGCGACCCCCAGGCCTGAGAGCGTGAGAGAATGGAAGGTCCCATCACGCACGGAGATGGCACTCTGGGGGCCGTCCTGCAGCAGGGTCCCATCCAGCCACCAGTGGGCCTCCGGCCCACCCGCACGGGACACCTCACAGGAGAACGTGGCCACCTCCCCCGCAAAGACGTCCACGTTCTGTAAGCCACGTACCAGGCACGGTGCTGCCTCTGTGCAAGAGGGCGAAAGGAGGGGAGCTGGGGGTACCCTGGGTCTGTGGGGCCACCCTGAGGTCCACCATGCTGGAGGCAGCCTGGGGCTGGGGTCTAGAAGTCTACCCAGCCAGCTGGCACCCCCTGCTCACAAAGTGAGACATGAAGACCACCCATAGCCTGTGGAAAGCCAGCTCAGCCCCCCTGCACCTCACAGCCCCCTTCAGAACATGTTCGGTTTCATCAAAGGAGACCAATGACCTGCATCTCACCCTTTTCAGAAGGCAGAATTGACAAGCCCCAAGTCCCATGGCTGCCATCTTTATGGGGTTCAGTGTGGGATAGAGAAGAGAGGTCATGGGGTCCACCTCTCTGAGACGGAGGGGGTCTGCTCACGAAGTGACCCTTCCTTCCCGGGAGTGTGGAAGCAGATGCTTCTCCCACCCCCAGAGGGCCGTTTGTCCAGATGCCCCCTAAGGTCCCTTTGGCCCTAAGATTCTGGGGCCCTAATGCAAAATGGCAATTTCCCCCTGATCTGTCACACAGCAGGGCATGAGCCCAGGCGGTTTCCCAGATGCCTGCTCTGTGCCTGCACACCCGCCCCAGCCAGGCTCTCCCTCAGAAGCCCTCCACGTCCCTCCTAGGCATGCACAATCAACTCTCTAGTCCCAGGCCCACACCAGCCCCTCCATGTTCTCCCAAGAGTGCATATCTAACTGTATCCCCAACCTGCTCCACCAGCTCCCCATTCCCATCTTCAGCACAGTTCCCAAGCTTCCCTGTATCCCACCAACCACCCATCTGCACAAGCTCATGCTCATGGCTCTCTGCCTGAAGCCATAGCTGCTGTCTGTACATGAGCCAGTTTGCCCCAACTGGGGACACCGGGTTGAGAGGGGCCAAGGCACTTCCCTCAGTGGGATCTGCAAGACCCAACCCAGCTCCATGCTGCCTCTCACAGACACCCACTCTGATGAATACATGAGGCCCCTCCTGGCCTGACTCTTCTCAGGACACACAGGATACTGCCCCTTCCCATCATTCAACTTGAGGGCACTGCACTCTGGAGACTTTCCCAGCCCCACAGGCCACATGAAGACTCGGGGTGGGGACACCTGAGACTCAGGACACACTGTCTCCATGTACAACTCCCCCAGCAGATTGGGGACTCACTGAGGGGAGAGCTGCAAATGGCCCCTCTCGAGGTAGATAGTAAATATATGATGGACAGACAGTGGATGGATGAGTGGATGGATGGGTGAGTGGATGGATGGGTGAATGGATGGTGGATGGATGGACAGATAATGGATAAATGATGGCTGGCTGGATGGCTGAATGGTAGATGGATAAACGGATGGATAGGTGGATGAATGGGTAGATGGCGGACAGATGGATGAATGGATGGACATAGGGATGGATGGTAGTAGAATGATGGTTAGATGGATGGATGGTGGATAGATGGATGATTGATGGTGGATAGATGGTGGACAGATGGGTAGATGCTAGATGCATGGGGAGATGGTGGCTCGATGGATGGATAGATGGATGAATTAATGATGGATAGATGGTGGATGGATAAAAGTATTGATGGTAGATAATGGTGGGTGGATGGATGGATGGACGATGGATGGTTGATGAATGGATGGAGGCTGAATAAATGGATGGACAGATGGATCGAAGGATGGATGGAATAGAGGGGTGGGTGGATGCATGCATGCATAGATGGATGGGTAAATGGTGGATGGGTTGATGGCCAGTGGATGGTAGATGGACAGGACCAGTATGAGAACCAGGAGTAGGACAGCAAGGGAGGGTCTCTCATGGCCAGGTATCCAGAGATGACTAACTCTGGGGACAAGGTATAACAAGTTGAAGGTCCTTAAATCCTATTTGCATGTCTGGGCTCAGGTACACTATGCCCCAAACCACTCACGTGTCACAGGTGTGCTATTGTATCAACATCTGGGAGCCTGTCAGGTATGCAGGTGTGTGTAAATGTGGACAAGAGCACACAAACCTGCATCACAAGGAGTAGCTATATGGAGGGTACAAGTCCAGAAGGCCCTGCCTCCATCTCAGGGCCCAGGTCCCCAGCAGCCAGACTCCCCATCTCCCCTCCTACACACAGCACTGATCCCACACAAGGACCCAACATACACCAGAATTTCTCAGGCTGATCTTCACTAGCCCACCTCCAGTGGCTTTAGTGGTCAAGAGTGGAAAACTGTCACCCCACAGCAAGATCACTGCTGGAAGGCTCAGGTTTCTGGCCTTACCACCTGCCAACAGTTCCTTGAGTAGGGAAACATGGACACCTACAAGCAGGAAGGCTGGGTGTATCGGAGGGGGCTGCCCACCTGTGACCTTCAGCTGGGCCTCTGAGTGACATGAGCCCACTTGGAAACTGATGGTTCCGGCATCTTCAGGGGTCACCTGTGGAAGCAGAGATGGGGGCATCAGCCCAGCAGTGCCATTTCAACCACCTCTACTTTGCAAGTCCCCAGCCCATTTCCACTGGAGTTGAAACCTTCCCTCTCCCACCCCTGGGGGGTGGGAAGGCCCCTGGATGCATTGCAGGGTACAGGCAGGTCTGGGGAACACCACCTTGTGCAGGGTGAGCAAGTGGAGTGTGCCATGCTCCACCGTGATGTCGTTCATCTCATTGGCCTGCAGGGGCACCCCTCCCAGGGCCCAGTGGGCCTCCTGGCCCAAGGTCCTTGACAGTCGGCACTGGAAGTGGGCGTCCTGGCCCTCGCTGAGTTGCACATCCTGCAGGGGCTCCAGGATGGTCACCTCAGGGGCTGCATGGGTTGGGGGTGGGGTAGAGGCATGGCATCAGCCTCCGTGTCTGGGATGCCCCTCCCCCACCATCAGGAGCACCTCCCAGTCCCCAGGGTCTGCCCCCAGCACCCCTGCCCCAATCCCTGAAGACAAGCACACTGGGCACCACTCTACCCCAACATCTTGGGTCACCCCAGAATCACTCATTCACCACCAGTTCCCCACCCTCAAAGGCAGGAAAGCTTGTCATCTATCACTGTCCCTTGACAGGGCCTGGCCCAAGGAGGACCTGGATGTTCTGGCCCCAAGCACAGTGAGCAGTGAGGCCCAGCTCCTGCTACCTGTGACCGTGAGTTCGGCAGAGGATGTGTGGAGGCCCACGCGGAAGGAGACAGTGCCCGCATCCTCGGGAGTCACGCTCTTCAGCCGCAGTGTATGGGTGCGGCCACCCCGCACGGCCACTTCTGTCACCTCACTGCTCTGCAGTGGCAGGCCCTGGAGACGCCACTCCACATCCACGGACTCAGCCCGCGACACTTCACAGCTGAACTCTGCTTCCCCGTCGGCCTGCACCTCGGTGTCAACCAGGCCCCGCACAATGGTCACCTCAGGCTCTGGAGTGTGGGCAAAGGGGGCCTTTACCAGCGAGGTCAGAGCACCTGGGCCAAGCTCCCATGCCCCCCGCCCCAACTCACCTCCAGGAAGCCCTCCCAGGCACTCTCATGCTCTTCTCCTGCCACACAGCCTCTATCTGCCCCACGTGAGATTCATCACCCAGCTGGCTCACAACACAGCTCCCTACCATGACACTGAGCTACTGGGGACAGAGCTTGGGCTGGGGGCACCTCTGTCTGGAGGAAGTGGGCAAGGGATTGTGGGGTGGTGGGCTGCTTTTGTTCCTTCCCCCACCTGTGGCCAGCCCTGCCCTGGCTGGGACACCAGGGAGGCAGGAGCTCACAGAGGGTGGCCCAGGCCAGGCTGCCCCACCTGCTGGCAAGGGCGGGAGGCAGGGCAGTGTTAAGGGCTACGGTTTCCTCACCGTCGACGCTCTTTTCTAGGGGCACCAGCTCCAGAGTGGTGCAGAGAAAGCTTGCAAACCCAGGGGTCTTACAGCCGCCCCAGAACAGCACCCGGCAAGAGGGGGTGCCGGGATGGGCCAGGTGTGCCCCCAGGGCAGCTATATGGGGAGTGGGTGTGGCAGGGAGGGCTCACCTTTGACTGTGAGGGAGGCCAAGGTTTTCTGGCTGCCCACCATGCAGGTGTACTCGCCCGTGTCCTTGGCCTCAAGTCCGTGGATCAGCAGCTCACACGTGGCCCCCTTGCATCTCATCTCATACTTGGGACTCCCTTGCAGTTCCACACCCTCCTTGAGCCACAGCACGGGGGCCCCAGGCTCTGAGTCATTCAGCTGGCAGCACAGCCGGGCCACACCACCCGCCTCCTGCTCTGTACTCTGCAGCTCCGTCTTAAACGTGGGCCTAGGGGCTGGGGGGTCAGGGAGGGGCTCTTAGGGCTGCTACTCAAGGCGCCTGCCAGCTCCATGGGGGCTGAGGGGCCTGGGGAGGGCAGGGGCCCTGGGAAGCTCACCGCGGACAGAGAGGCTGGCAGTGCTCTGTGCATGGCCTGTGTCGCAGGTGTAGGGGCCGGCATCCTCCTGCTCAGCACCGTGCACCAGCAGCTCAGCGGCTGTGCCCTCTAGCACCATCTGGTACTTGGCACAGGGGAAGAGCTGCAGGTAGCCCTTGTGCCACTCCACGCTGGCACCTGCCCGGCTCAGTTCACAGCGCAGGTGTGCCGTTGCACCCTCGTCTACCTCCTGGGCCTGCAGCTCCCGAAGGAACCTCACGGGTGCAACTACAGGGGTGAGGGAGAATATGAGGGCAGGTGCAGGAGCAGCTATGAGGGCAGCCGGGCCCAAAGGCGTGCAGCTAAGGCAGAGGGGTAGAGGGGGGAAGAGCTTCAGGCCAGGTCTGCCCCGCATTGCACGCGCGAGCCCGTGTCACCTCCAGGGTGGAGGTGCGGCCCTGACAATCTCCCACAGTACGTGGGGCCAGCCTCGGGGCCCACCTGTGACGGTGAGGGTGGCGCTGGTGGCCTGGGAGCCGCAGGTGCAGGTGTATTCTCCAGTGTCCTCCCGGCGCAAGTCCCGAAACACCAGCTCCGCCACGTGGCCCCGCTGCTGTGGCTCCCAGCGCTCGTCAGCCTGCAGCTCCAGGCCACCCTTACTCCAGACCACAGCGGCGCTAGGCTCAGACAGCTCACACCGCAGGCTGGCTGAGGTGCCCTCCTCAGCCTGCAGGCTCTGCAGTGGCTTCCTGAACACCACCTGTGGGGCTGTGGGGTGGGGGTCAGGGGGTGGAGGGGAGAGAGAAGGTCAGCCCCAAGGCTGGTGCCCAGACACCCAGCCAGGAGACTGGCACCCCAAAACCCAGTCAGACCCACCCAGGGCCTAGGCCAGTTGTGGCCTGTGGCTTCACCCCAGCTGCCCGACCTGCCCAAAGCACCCAATGCCACGGGCTCCTGAAGGCTGTGGGTAGAAGTGGAGTCATGGGCCTGGGTCCACTCTAAGGGGAAGGAGGGACTGAACTGGGGGCTATGAGAGGAGCTCTGGATCTGACCCAGACTATTCTCAGGCTGATCTCCACCCAGGAAGCCCACAGACAGGCCTGTATCCCTCCAGGTCATCAAGGTGGGGGCAGGGGGATCTCCTTGGACCCCTAGGGCAGGGCCATGACTGTCAGATCCTGACTAGAGGCTTTGGGGTATAAGGAGAAAGTTGACTGCATTATGACGGGTGGAGGGAGGGGAATATGGTGGGAGTTCTTTCCCTACGGCAAGCGTATTTGGCTGGAGATCAGTAAGCAGACACAAGGACACTGAACAGAGCTCTAACGGGGGAGCACAAGGGTGACATAAAGAAACTGCACATGGCACAGAGGAGGCAAGCACTCATGGGGGGCCAGTGTGGGCACAAGAGACAAGGGCACAAATACAGGCTCCCAAGTAAGTCCACAGGGCCATCTTTACCCCTAATGGTCAGCGTGGCAGAGGTCCTCTCCTGCCCGCACACACAAGAGTACTCCCCGGCATCCGCCATAACCAGGCCACGAATCTCCAGCTCACATACGGCCCCGTCCTGCCTCAGGCTCACTCTGTCCCCGGCTCTGAGGGTCTCGGGCCCTTTCATCCACTCCACGGGGGCTGCCTTGCTCAGTTCACAGTGCAGTATGACCATGGCCCCTTCCGTGGCCTCTTCCTTCCTCAGACCCTTTGTGAACTTGGCAGGCAGGCCTGGAAATGGTCAGAAACAAACACTATCACGCTCTCTGAACACACAGAAGAATCAGGACGTGCACAGTACATAGAGGACACAAAACCCAGCTGGACACCAACCACCTGATGGGTGTGCCCAGTACACACTGTGGACTGTGACTTTTAAAGGTCCAACCTGTACATGTGCCACACAACAGACAGGGACCATGACAGGGACAATAAAAGAATTATGGAAGGAAAAGGATAGTGAGACACAACAGTAGAAAAGGAAACTGAGAGCAGAGAGGTGGTGATGGGCAGCCACCAAATGCCATTCCACGTGGTCACACGTGGTCTTTACCCCTGACGGTGAGCGTGGCTGATGTCCTCTCCTGCCCGCACACACACGAGTACTCCCCAGCATCCTCCACGGTCAGGCCACGGATCTCCAGCTCACACACGGCTCCATCCTGCCTCAGGCTCACTCTGTCTCCAGCTCTGAGGGTCTCAGGCCCCTTCCTCCACTCCACAGGGGCTGCCTTGCTCAGCTCGCAGTGCAGTGTGGCCGTGGCCCCTTCTGTGGCCTCCTCCTTCCTCAGACCCTTTGTGAACTTGGTAGGAAGGGCTGGGAAAGTCAGAAAGACACAAACACTATAACACTCTCTAAAGGCACAGATTAGATAGGACGTTGACATCACAGAGAAGACACAAAACACAACTGGACACGGGCAATGTGCTGGGTGTGCCAAGCACACGCTGTGGACTGGGGCTTCCCTCGGCCCAGTCCGTTTAATGTGTGGCTGTGACACCTTCTGCAGACTCCTCAGGCAGCATGTTTGTACGAATCTGCTGGGCAGGGCTAGAGAGGGTTGGACGGTGTGGGGAACATCAGATTCTCTGGAGATTACTGGGGAACAGCACATGCCTGGATGGAGTAAAAGACACAGACACTAACAGGAAACAGGACAGAACATGCAGTGACATGAGGGGTGGAAAGTAGCTCAGATGCTGGTTGCTCGTGGTTCACACAACAGCCCAGAAGGAGGAAGGAATTCCGTGGAGTTATGGGAAGAGGGTGGCACTGAAACAAGGAAGGTAGGGAGGATAAGTGCAGGGTGATGCCATGAAGTCAATAATTGGACAACAAAACAAAGCTCTGCTTGGCCACATGGGTCTTTACCCCTGACAGTGAGTGTGGATGAGGTTTTCTCCTGACCACACACACACGAGTACTCCCCGGCATCTGCCACAACTAGGTCACGGATCTCCAGCTCACACATGGCCCCGTCCTGCCTCAGGCTCACTCTGTCCCTGGCTCTGAGGGTCTCGGGACCCTTCCTCCACTCCACAGGGGCTGCCTTGTTCAGCTCACAGTGCAGCGTGGCCGTGGCCCCTTCCATGGCCTCTTCCTTCTTCATACCCTTTGTGAACTTGGCAGGCAGGCCTGGAGATGGTCAGAAAACACAAACACTATCACCCTCTTTGAACACACAGAAGAATCATGACATGCACAGTACATACAGGACACAAAACCCAACTGGACACAGATCCCCTGATGGGTGTGCCCAGTACACACTGGACTGTGACATTTAAAGGTCCAACCTGTACATGTGCCACATAACAGACAGGGAACATGACAGGGACAATAAAAGAATTATGGAAGGAAAAGGATAGTGAGAGAGCAGGGTAGAAAAGGAAACTGAGAGCAGAGAGGTGATGGGCAGCCACCAAATGCCAGTCCACGTGGTCACATGTGGTCTTTACCCCTGATGGTGAGCGTGGCTGATGTCTTCTCCTGCCCGCACACACACGAGTACTCCCCAGCATCCTCCACAGTCAGGCCATGGATCTCCAGCTCACATACGGCCCCGTCCTGCCTCAGGCTCACTCTGTCCCCGGCTCTGAGGGTCTCAGGCCCCTTCCTCCATTCCACGGGGGCTGCCTTACTCAGTTCACAGTGCAGCATGACCATGGCCCCTTCCGTGGCCTCTTCCTTCCTCAGACCCTTTGTGAACTTGGCAGGAAGGCCTGGAGATGGTCAGAAACACACACTATCACGCTCTCTGAACAAACAGAAGAATCAGGATGTGCACAGTACAGAGAGGACACAAAACTCAACTGGACACCGACCACCTGATGGGTGTGGCCAGCACACACTGTGGACTGTGACTCTTACAGGTCCAACCTGTACATGTGCCACACAACAGACAGAGACCATGACAGGGACAATAAAAGAATTATGGAAGGAAAAGGATAGTGAGATAGCAGGGTAGAAAAGGGAACTGAGAGCAGAGAGGTGATGGGCAGCCACCAAATGCCAGTCCACGTGGTCACATGTGGTCTTTACCCATGACGGTGAGTGTGGCTGATGTCCTCTCCTGCCCGCACATGCACGAGTACTCCCCAGCATCCTCCACGGTCAGGCCACGGATCTCCAGCTCACACACAGCTCCGTCCTGCCTCAGGCTCACTCTGTCTCCAGCTCTGAGGGTCTCAGCTCCCTTCTTCCACTCCACAGCAGCTTCCTTGCTCAGCTCACAGTGCAGCGTGGCCGTGGTCCCTTCTGTGGCCTCCTTGCTTCTCAGTCTTCCTATGAACTCAGCAGGTAGGGCTGGGCAGGGTCAGGTGAACACAGAACATCAGAGTCTCAGGAGAACTTTGGAGACATGACAGAACAGAGGAAAAAAACAGACTCCAACAGAACAACAGGACAGAACCTGCAGTGACACAAGGGGTAGGAAGTAGCTCAGAGCTGGTTTCTCATGGTTCACACAATAGCCCAGGAAGGAGGAAGGAATTCCATGGAGTTATAGGAAGAGGGTGACACTGAGACAAGGAGGGTGGATGGGATGAGTGCAGGGGGAAACCAGGAAGTCAATAATTGGACACCAAAAGACAGCTCTGCTTGGCCACACGGGTCTTTACCCCTGACGGTGAGCATGGCTGAGGTTTTCTCCTGCCCACAGACGCATGAGTACTCCCCAGCATCTGCCACAACCAGGCCACAGATCTCCATTTCACACATGGCTCCATCCTGCCTCAGCCTCACTCTGTCCCCAGCTCTGAGGGCCTTGGGCCCCTTCCTCCACTCCACCGGGGCTTCCTTGCTCAGCTCACAGTGCAGTATGGCAGTGGCCCCTTCTGTGGCCTCCTTGGTCTTCAGATCTTGGATGAACCGAGCAGGTAGGGCTGCAGAGGGTTAGATGGACAGAAACGATCAACCCCTCAAAAGGACTGGGCATATGACCGGAACATTCAGGATGAGAACAGAAGCAGCAATGTGGAGGACATGTGAAGAGACAGACCAACGCATATATGACAGTGTGATCATCTTGCATCTTTCCCAGTGAGGTGCAGGGTGGCAGGGGACTGGTTCCATCCAGACCTCTTGTCTTCTCAGAGCGCATCTGTCCTACCTATACCCATTCATACTGTCTAAGCGCTGACCTTGTCTGCACCCAGAGTACGAAACAGGCTCCTCCAACTCATACATGCAACAATGCAATGTACATCTCTCCTGGGAGAACCCCCAGAAGGCACCTTCCAGTCATGACATCAAGTGACCCACTGACATCCCTCAGTTGTGCTCCCTACCCCAGGTAGAGTGTCAATCCAGCACTGCCCACATCTGGGCTCACTGCATGCCTTCCCTGCCCACACCAGGCCCCACCTCATCCACCTCGCACATTCCTTTCCTTACCCCACTGGACTTGCACTCTCCTAGCTCAGGTCTCCTAGACCCTAATGGATTCTAGCTGTGGCCTTCTAACCACGCCCCAAGCCCTCCAACCTGCAGTCTTCTCCTCCATCCCAACTCCAGAAAGAGTGTGAGCTTCACAAGTTATAGCTGACCAGAGCCCACCCTGGTTACAACCTGTTGTGGGGTGAATCGTGTCCCTCAGAAATCATATGTTGGAGCCCTAACCCCCAGGACCACAGAATGTAGATGTATTGGGGGATGTGGTCTTTAAAGAGGTGACTGAGGAAAAAGGAAGTCACTGAGGTGGAACCTAACCCAACATGACTGGTGTTCTTGTAAGGAGAGGATATTAGGACACATATACACACACAGAGGGATGACCATGTGAGGACATGGAGAAAAGATGGCCGTCTACAAGCCAAGGAGAGAGGTCTCGAGGGAAACCAGCCTTGCCCACACCTTGATCTCAGACTTCTAACTCCTAGGACTGGGAGGAAAAAATTTTCTGATGTTTAAAGCCACTGTTATGTTGTTAAGCCATTCAGATTTTGGTACCAGGAGTGGGTCGCTACTGTAACAAATACCTAAAATTATGGAAGTGGCCTTGGAACTGGGTGATGGGTCGCAACTGGAGGAGTTCTGAGGTGCATGTTAGATAAATCTAGATTGCCTTGAAGAGATTATGGGTAGAAATATTGATGCTAAAGGTGCTTCTGGTGAGGCCTCAGATGGAAATGAGAAATGTGTTATTGGAAACTGGAAGAAAGGCAATCCTTTAATAAGCAGCAAAGAATTTGGCTGAAACGTGTCCCAGAGTTTTGTGGAAGGTAGAACTTACAAGTGAACTTGGATATTTAGCTGAGGCGACTCGTAAGCCAAGCACTGAAGACACAGACTGATTGCTCCTTGTTGCTTATGGTAAAATGTGAGAGAAAACTGAGTTATGTCAAAGAAGGAAGTATTTAAGCAAACGGAAACCAAAAGTTGAGGATTTAGAAATTTTCCAGCCCACTGAAATCACAAAAAAATGAGAATGCCTGTTCTAGAGAGAATACCAAGGGTGTGGCTGGAAAATCATTCAGTAAAGAGATTATGAGTGTGAGTCCTGGATCCAATCAGCCACCTCAGCAAAGTCAGGACTAGAGATGGAATTATCCAGGAAGGCTGTGTGGAAGGCTCTTGTCTGAAAGCTTGGACTCCTGTGAATTGTAAAGGAGACCAACAAGGCTTTTGAGAATTTTATATCAGCAGAAACCCTGCCAACCATGACTTAATCAGACACGGAAGGGACAAAATGATGGAAGCTGGGATTTCTATAGGATGGGTCAATACAGCTATCCGGCTGGGAACACGTGCTATCCTTCAAAGTTGGGAAGAATAACCCCAATGGCAATTCAGAGGTCAGCAGGGATGCCACTGCATCCATGGTCCCAGAGGGCCACGCCACCTCTGTCCAGGACCAAGGGGGTGAGGTCACCACTCTGGTGGACCCAGAGACAGAGCATTGAGCCAGAGGATCATTCTCCAGCCTTAAAATCTAACAGAATCTGTCCTGCTAGATGCTGGGTTTCTGTGAAACCAGTGGCCTCTTTCTTCTTTCCTATTCCTCTCTTTTGCGATGGGAATATCTATCCCACGCCTGTTCCACTGAAGTGTTTTGGAAACGTATAACTTGTCTGATTTCACAGGTTCACAGCTGGCGAGGAATTTTGCCTCAGGATGAATCGTAACTCTAGTCTCACACATACTTGATTTAGATGAGATTTAGATTAGATTTTTGACTTAGCTTGATACTGGAATGGGTTAAAAGTTTTGGGTTTGGGGGATGAGGTAAATGTACTCTGCATGTGAAAAGAACATGCATTTTGGGGGACAAGATGACAGAGTATTATGGACTGAATCATGTCTCCCCTCAAATTCATATGTTGAAGCCTTAACCCCCAAGAACTCAGAATGTGAATTTATTTGGAAATAAGTTCTTTATAGAGGTAATTAAGGACAGAATGGGGTCACGGGCGGGGGGGGGGTACTAATTCAATCTGACTTATAAGTGTCCTTATAAGAAGAGGAGATTAGAACACAGGAACACACAGAGGATGCCCAGGTGAGGACAAAGGGAGAATACAGCTGTCTACAAGCCAAGAAGAGAAGCCTCAAAAGAAACCAACGCTGCAGACACCTTGGTCTTGGACTTCCAGCCTCCAGGACTGTGAAACAATAAATGTGTGCTGTTAAGTCACCTATATGTGGTATTTGTTATACAGCCCAAGCTTTCTGAGACAGAGCTCTTCAGAGCCTCCACACAATCTCCAAGGTCAATCAAACGCTGTTACCACACACAGGAGGGCCTGGCCTGTCTGGCCACCTACTCCCTGAGCCCCTCAATGCTGCACCTCAGTCTTTCTGTGCACATCCGTCACTAACATGAATGACTCCACTCCACACCTGAGGTCGAGACCCCATGCATACCCACAGCCCCAGCCACGTGCCAGTGGCCCAGAGCAGCTCTCCTGGACCATGATGCCTCCCTAGGGGTGTCCTCACACCACCTGCCCCTTGGGTCTGTACCCGCAGGGTCTAGACAGGGCTGGCCAGTGCGTTTTGTGAGATGGATCAGACAGACGGTGACTGTAACCCTAAGACAACAGTGACGTTGGGAGAGCACAGAACAGGTGGCAGAGAGAAGTCATTCAGGTGGCCACATGCAGTCTTTACCCCTGATGGCCAGTGTGGCAGAAGTCCTCTCCTGCCCGCACACACACGAGTACTCCCCGGAGTCCGCCACAACCAGGCCATGTATCTGCAGCTCACACTTGGCCCCATCCTGCTTCAGGCTCACTCTGTCCCCAGGTTTGAGGGTCTCGGGCCCCTTACTCCACTCCACAGGGGCCGCCTTGCTCAGCTCACAGCGCAGGGTGGCCGTGGCCCCTTCCATGGCTTCTTCATTCTTCAGACCCTTTGTGAACTTGGCAGGCAGGGCTGGTCAGAAAGACACACACACAATCACACTCTGTGAGCACACACAAAAGGCAGGATGCGAACAACACAGAGGAAACACAAACCCAAGCACACATGGGCCATGTGCTGGCTGTGCCGAGGACACACTGTGGTTGGTGGCTTCCCTCAGCCCAGCCCCTTCTGTGGACTCCTCAGGCCTAATCCTTTGTATTAACCTCGGAGGCAGGGCTGAGAAGGGTCAGAATGACATGGAGACCATCGGATTCTCTGGAGAAGTTTGGGGGCAGAACGTGACAGGATGGAGGAAAAGACACAGACTCCAACAGGACAACAGAACAGTACCAGTGGTGACACGAGGGGTGGGAAGTGGCTTAACTGCTGGTTTCTTCTGGTTCATACAACAGCCCAGGAAGGTGGAAGAGGTTCCACTGCCTTATGGGAAAAAGGTGGCACCGAGACAGGGAGAGAACATGGAATGAATGCAGATGGATGCAATGAAGTCAGTAACTGAACACCAAAATATGGCTCTGCTTGATCACACGTGGTCTTTACCCCTGACAGTGGGCATGGCCAAGGTCCTCTCCTGCCCACATACACACAAGTACTCCCCAGCATCCATCATAGCCAGGCCATGATCTCCAGCTCCCACACGGCTCCACCCTGCCTCAGGCTCCCTCTATTTCCATCTCAGAGGGTCTCGGGGCCCTTCCTCCAATCCACAAGGGCCATCTTGCTCAGCTCACGGCACAGTATGTCCATGGTCCCTTCTGTGGCCTCTTCATTCCTCAGACCCTTTGTGAACTTGGCAGGCAGGGCTGAGGAAAGCTAAGAAGTCACTGAGAACATCAGACTCTCTCAGGGGACTCTGTGTCCAGGACACCACAAAAACCACACAAACTGCAAAAGAGCACAGTATGAACAAGTGGGAAAATGCACAGATGGTGATGGAGGCAAATGCCCCAGAGGGAACAGAGAACACAAAGCACTGGACATGACATCTACTGGACAGGGAAACAGAAGCCATGAGACAGCTGGGGGAATCCAGTTGAAAAGATACAGAAAGGCACAGGATCCAACAGGGGAGGTGGTGACATGGAAACAAGTCCATTTGGCCTCACGTGGTCTTTACCCCTGACAGTGAGCGTGGCTGAGGTCCTCTCCTGCCCGCACACACACGAGTACTCCCCAGTGTCCGCCACAGCCAGGCCACGGATCTCCAGCTCACACACGGCCCCGTCCTGCTTCAGGCTCACTCTGTCCCCGGCTCTGAGGATCTCGGGTCCCTTCCTCCACTCCACGGGGGCCGCCTTGCTCAGCTCACAGTGCAGTGTGGCCGTGGTCCCTTCTGTGGCCTCCTCCTTCCTCAGACCCTTTGTGAATTTGGTGGGCAGGGCTGGGCAGGGTCAGAGTGACACAGAAAACATCAGACTCTCTGGAGAATTTGGGGAGATCAGGATGTGGACACTTGACAATAAAACACTCACACTTCGGAGCAAATAAGGAATAAAAGCTTGGACCCACAGACACATGGGTAGGTGGCAGTGCATGGGGGCAGAGGACAGACTAGGCTGAGCCCATCTAGATACAAACCAGCAAGGAAATGGAATCCTCAGTGAGGACCTCATGACATGGACAGACACATAGAAATGGCCACAGTGCCCACAGGATGGATGGAAAGGGACAGTAATCAGAAGGGATGTCCTCTCAGCATCTTCCATGGCCCATCCTGCCTCAGAGTGTATCTGATGCCAGATTCAAGGGCCCAGACCCCTTCCCCCACTCTACATGCCAGGCTGCCCAGCTTACACCACACCATGGCTGTGGCCCCCTCCAGGCCTCATTTCTTAGCAATTTTATGATCTTGAGGGATATATCTGGGGACGGAGACACAAAGAGAGCTACCTAAACTTTCCCACGAGTTTGCACCAGCACTCCCGCCTTGTCAACTCCTGCTGCTGCTGGGGCCAGAGCCCCGGCATGACTGGGCCTGAACAGGACTGACAGAGCTAGGAACACCACAGCTATAAGGGAAGCCGAAGCCACCCTCCTCCTGGCCTGTCGTCCTGGAGTAGGTGTCCTTGGGACCTGCATACTCTTAAAAGCAGCTCTCTTGGGCTGCTTGCAGCTGGTCAACTTGGGTCCTCTGCTCCTTGGCCACCGGTGGTGCCTCGTGCAGTGCAAGTTGCTCTTGACTGTGAGATAGGCCTCCAGGCCCACATCCCCTGTGGTCTCCTGGTGGGTCTGAACAGTGTGAGTGCCCAGTGTCTCTGCGCTGGAGACGCTGCACTCCATTCATGAAGTTCAAGGTGGCATGGTGGCCTGGCCTCTCCCCAAAGATCTGCGTATCTGTGCACGTGACGGCCCTGCCCAGCCTCCAGAACCCTCTTCAGGGTCCACCTTGTCTTGTGAGCATGGCCCAACAGGGCCCAGGATGTGAGGCCCCTGTGCACCTACAGAGCTGTCCTTCCTTCTGCGCTGAGATGCCCCCGGGCCCCTTCATCAATGTTGCTCACAGGACCCTCTCAGGACGTGGTGGGTGGCCTCATCCTCTGTCCCATCTGCTACCCCCGCAGGAAGTGACTAGGCCCTCACTAGGGCAGGCCCCTGAGGACCTGGACCCCCAGCACAGGGAGCTGACCTATTGCCAGGCCATGAGCCACACCACAGCAAAGCCCCGTCCTGAGTCCTCATCTCTGAGGGTCTCAGGCCCCTTCCACCACTGCATGGGGCTGCCTTGCTCAGCTCACAGCACAGCACGAATGTGGACATGGCTCCTGCCATGGCCTGCTCACGCTTCATAACTTTTTTGAATTGGCTGGTCAGGCCTGGGGAAGGTCAGACGGACACACAGACTGATGGACTCTGGAGCTTGCAGACAAGGAATGGGCCACAGACACCATGCTGGCCACACAAGCACCCATTGGAAGGGGGGCCCCGAGGGGACACCAGGCAAAATGCCCACAGTGGGCTGCTCTGATGCAAGGGGACTCCCACTACCCCACTTCAAGGATATCCACCCAGCTGGCCGTCTTCCACCCCACAAAGAAAGTGGCCCTACTGGCCCCTAAACACATGGGCCAGCCCTCCTGCTCTAGCTGACTGTGCCCCACCCTCAAACTGTGACCTCTCATCCCGTGTCCCAGCCACAGGTCACCATGCCACGCCTGATGGACCCCCTTCTGTGGCAGTTGCCTAGAGCCAGCTTACCTGCCACAGATGCCAGACAGGGAACCCAACGCCAGCACGGGTGTCCACCTGCCCTTCCTGACTCTGGCTCTGCGCCTCTGTGCAGCTCTTCCTGCCCTTCCTTCCTCTCTTTCCACAGTCAAGCACTGTCCACACCCACTTCACCTCCACCCTATCCCTACACCCAGCCTCACCTCTCCTAACCACCAGGAGCTGGACAACAGAACCTAGGACCTCCCATCACGGCTCTCCCATGGCCCAGCGTGCATGTCCCAGCTTCCACCTCTTGACACCCCGTTTGACATCCCACCCTTGAGGGCCACGCTTTGATCAACTTCCTAGCTTCTCTTGGCATGCCCCCTCAAGAGGACCATACTTCCACTCTTGTACTGTGTGGGTGCCCTCCTTCTCTCCCTCAGGCATGAGCCCCTGAGAGCAGGGAGGACCATATTCTCTGCTCTTTATCTGAGACGAGCCTCACAGAAGCAGGTGCTGGGAGACTCGTGCTGCAGGAATGCAGGAGATGCACATAGAAGCGAAAGACTGTACACGGACAGGGCAGAGCTCAAGGACGTGATCAAGCCCTCAGACACGAAGCCACTGCTCCACGTGGCCACACACAGTCTTTACCCCTGACAGTCAGCCTGGCCGCTGTTCTCTCCTGCCCGCACACGCACAAGTACTCCCCGGCATCTGCCACAACCAGGTCACGGATCTCCAGCTCACACACGGCTCCGTCCTGCCTCAGGCTCACTCTGTCCCTGGCTCTGAGGGTCTCGGGCCCCTTCATCCACTCCACGGGGGCTGCCTTGTTCAGCTCACAGCGCATCATGGCCGTCGCCCCTTCCATGGCCTCTTCCTTCCTCAGACCCTTTGTGAACTTGGCAGGCAGGCCTGGAGATGGTCAGAGACACACAAACACTATCACGCTCTCTGAACACGCAGAAGAAACAGGACGTGGATAGTTCATAGAAGATACAAAACCTAACTGGACACGGACCACCTGCTGGGTGTGCCCAGTACACACTTTGGACTGTGACATTTAAAGGTCCAACCTGTACATGTGCCACACAACAGACAGGGACCATGACAGGGACAATGAAAGAATTATGGAAGGAAAAGGATAGTGAGACAGCAGAGTAGAAAAGGAAACTGAGAGCAGAGAGGTGATGGGCAGCCACCAAATGCCAGTCCACGTGGTCACATGTGGTCTTTACCCCTGATGGTGAGCGTGGCTGATGTCTTCTCCTGCCCGCACACACACGAGTACTCCCCAGCATCCTCCACGGTCAGGCCACGGATCTCCAGCTCACACACGGCTCCATCCTGCCTCAGGCTCGCTCTGTCTCCAGCTCTGAGGGTCTCAGACCCCTTCCTCCACTCCACAGGGGCTGCCTTGCTCAGCTCACAGCGCAGCGTGGCCGTGGTCCCTTCCGTGGCCTCCTTGCTTCTCAGTCTTCCTATGAACTCAGCAGGTAGGGCTGCAACAAGGTCCGATGGACACAGACATCATCTTCATCCCCCCACAAAGGATGAAAGGGGCTGTATGGAACTACATAGGGTCACATGGGCAGAGTGAGTAAGTATACTTACCCTGTACGGTGAGCCTGGCCGATGTTATCTGGTCCCTGAAGCAGCAGGAGTACTGCCCGCTGTCCTGAGGCCGCAGGTCCCGGATGAGCAGTTCCAGCATGGTACCCTCCTGCCGCAGGCTGTACTTGCCTCCAGGCTTCACAACCTCATCTCCACGACGCCACTCCACGGGCATGGCCACCGATGACAGCATGCAGTGTAGTGTGGCAGCACCACCCTCCAGTACCTCCGCGTCCTTCAGCCCCTCTTGGAACCGCACTGGCTGAGCTGTGGACAGGCATGAGCTCAGCTCAGCCCTCACCCCGCTGCCTCCTACAGGGGTCTCCCCTGTGGTCAAGCACGGCTGAGAGCAGCAGCTGCAGGGTGCAGGCGGGCCCACCTCACTGTCTACATTGGGGGCTAGTGACAGTGACCTCTAGACCTCTGCCTCTCCAGGAGGGTGAGCCAAACAGCAGGAAACAGAGAAGGGTGGAGTGTTATGGGCTACATTGTGTCCCCCAAATTCATCTGTTGGAGCCCTAACCCTCAGGACCCAGAATGGGGCCGTATTTGGAGATGGGGGTCTCTAAAGAGAAGACTGAGGTAAAATTACGTCACTGGGTGGGTCTTAATCCCACAGTGTTGGTGTCCTTACAAGAAAAGGAGATTAGGACACAGACACACACAGAGGGATGACTGTGAAGATACAGGGAGAAGACAGCTATCTACACGCCAAGGAGAAAGGCCTCAGGAGAAGCCAGGCCTTCCAACACCTTGATCTCAGACTTCTAGTCTCCAGAACTGGGAGACAATAAACAGGGAGACACGTTTTTTTTTATGCTACTCAGTCTGTGGTATTTGTTACCCAGAACCCGAGCTGACTGAGACAGATGGAGATGAGCCAAGCCAGGAGAAGGGAGACACGGTGATGTCAGAACACAAAACAAAGTCGGGAATGAAGTAAAAAAGAGATTGCTGGTCAGAAGACCAAGGGAGGGTGAGGGATGCTATCAGGACCATCAGAGCCCCAGAGATGGGCAGTAGGGAGCAGAGGGAGATGGATGAACTGCTGGAAAGATACAGGTGGACAGAAGGAGCCTCAGAACAGCACCCCCACACACACACACACACACATAGAGGGCAGAGATAGACAGGGTCAGATAGAGTCCTGGAGTCCCCCTTGCCCTTAGCAAGACAAGAAACAGGGGTGCCCAGAGTGCGGCTGGAGGCTGCCCAGCACCCCCCTCCAGGGGCTCACCATGGACCCTGACAACGGAGCTGCTCCAGGCACCGCCAGCCTCACACTTGTAGCGCCCACCGTCCTGAAGGGTGGTGTCAGTGATGACCAGTTGGGCTCGGCGGCCCTCATAGCTCAGACGGCACCGAGCCGATGGCCGCAGGGCCTTCCCGTCCTTGGTCCAGCACACAGGGTTGTCTAAAGCAGCAGTCTCACAGACCAGGGTCAGATCTTCCCCCTCCATGACTGCGGCATCTGTGAGCTCCCGGGAGAAAACACCTGGCTTCTCTGAAGACAGAGAGGGATGCATATGACACTTGTGGGCTTCTGCAGGAAAAGCCCCAGGTCTCACTGCAGACCAGGCAACACTCCTGGTCAGTACCCACCTGTCCCCCTCAGTCTGGGCTGCAGACAGGGCTGCTGGGGGAACAGGACAGGCTCTGTGTGGCTCCACATACCAGAGGGGTGGGCCCAGCCTCTACACTGACCTTGAGCTCACCTCTGCATACCATGTGCAACAACGCATCTTGAAATAGTGCCACTCAGCCTCCCAAGCCCCGCTCCCTGGGATCCAAGGCCCCAGCCCATGGGAAGTCCATGGTGCCTTCTCTGTAAGCCCCAGGGCCTCACCCAGCGTGTGGCCAAGCCACTGTCTTGAGGTTTCATGCTTAGTCACACAGACTGGCCCCCACCATGGCACTGGGCACATGCAGCCTACCTATGACCTGCAAGGCAGCTGAGGTCCGCTGGTCGCCTGCCTCAAAATGGATGGTGCCTGAGTCCTTGAGGGCCAGCTGCCGCAGGGTAAGCACATGGTAGCCACCTGGCTGGACCTTGATCTCACTGAGTTTGTTGGCAGACAGTGGGGTTTTGTCCAAGAACCAGTGGACGGGCTTGTAGTCGGCAGGGGAGATACGGCAGCAGAAGGTGGCCGAGGAGCCCTCCTGCACCTCCAAGTCCTTCAGGTCCTCTGTGATGAGCACTTTCTGGCCTGCAGGGACACAAACGGGCATGTCAGTGACCCTCTGGCCAGCTGCCAAGGGAAACAGGGTGCTCCCCAAGACCTGGGGTGGGCTCACGACAGAGATCGAGCAAATGACTCTAACGGGCTCCGAATGACAAAACATAAAACAGTAAGTGGGTCCGAGCTGGACTGTCCAAAAGTATTTGTTTTAGATCCATCAGTGAGCCCCAATCCACCTCTGGGGTCCTTCTGCAGAGCACACAAGGTGACCCACTTTAGGCCCCACCATCAGGCTGCGCTCCTTAACCTGTCTAGGCCAGTTATGCCTGTCACAGAAATCACTTGACGCAATTCAATTTTGTATTAACAGAGGAAACGAGTGTGACGAAAGATGCATGGCTATGATAACATTTAAATCGAATGCATTGGAGGACTGACAACGTGAATCGCTAGAAAAAAATTTTTTGCTGTTGTCTTAGGTATGGTGAAACCTTAGGAAGAAGTTATAAATATAGAGATAGATTGGCCGCCAGATTCCTTCTGCATTCACAGGTGTCTTGAAGCTATTGCACACCAGAAAGCATAGATAGCACATCAGGAGGGTGATGTACACAAAAAGAGATACGGAATTCTGATTCGTGAACTGATACACAAAGAAAAGGCTCTGGCTGACGCTATTAGACGGGTACAAGTCTGTGTGTTTTAAACGTTTTTAAAGACCATATGTTGTTATCATGGGACACTCTGACTTTTTTAAAGTATGAACATCTACTGGGTCGGCCAAAAAGTTCGTTTGGGTTTTTCGTAGCATCTTACGGCAAAACCTGAACGAACTTTTTGGCCAACCCAATACTTTATTAGATAGCGGTGCTTCTACTGCACTAACAAAACGTTTTCACTGAGCTCAGTGGATTCACTGTATTTCACTGAAAAAGAGAAAAAAATCAAGAGTGAGTCTTCTTTGTTATTCTTTTGGGTTTTTTTTCTGTGGAGAGACCCCCAGGAAGGACCTCCACCTGACTTCACCCTGGACACCGGCCCTGGGATCTGGAGGGCTGGGCTCAACCCTGCCCTGATGCCTACTTGTCCTACACCCCTGAACCAGCCAACAACCCCGAGTAAAGGCCCAGTCTCCCTATCTGTGAAGTGGGAGAGTGATAACCCTCACCCTGCCTGCCAGGTGAAAACTGCTGCTCAAACCTGAAAACTTTCCCGAGCAAGTCTCCTTCCACAGGAGCAGAGGCGGTACATCTGCATGTAAGTACATGCAGAGCTCATGCAGGGGCACACGCTGGAAGGGTTCCAGAAACATTCATCCAGCAAATGAAGGCACAAATAAATGAGGGCTGCTGACTCATTTACACAAGGCCCAGCTGGGAGGGTCAGAGACAAGACCACCCAGGACAACTCCCCTTGGAGATGGGGAAACCAAGGCTGGGTTTGTCTAGGGCCAGGCAGAGTTCTGATCTCTTCCCATCTTCAAGTCTACTTTAAACAAAGCTTACACCTGAGCACACCATGGGCCTTGAAATATAGTGTGCAAATGAGAGCAACAGCACGGTGACTGGGCCTAACCTTTCACCAGGAGCCGAGCCTGGGACTGGGCCTGGCCAATGTCACAGGTGTAAGTGTCGCTGTCCGCCTTCTCCAGGGCGCTGATGGTAAGCCTCAAGGTCAGGCCCTCCTGGCTGGGAGCATGCTTCTCCGAGGTTTGCAGCTCTGTGAGGCCCTTGCGCCATGTCACTGAGGCCGCGGGGCGCTCCGTCTTGCAGGCAAACACAGCTGTGCCCTTCTCCTCTACCTGTAGGTCAGCCAGCTCCTCCGTGAACTGGTTTGGCTTTTCTGGGGGAGAATGGATGGGAGGGAGAGGCCTGTGCAGACCCCATGTAGGCCCTCAGGACAGGAAATCACTCCCATCACAGGTGGTTCTCCTGGCCCACCCACAGAACCTCAGGGACCTGGGCAAGCCCCTTCCCTGCTGGGCGCCCCTCCATTCCTGCCTGGAAAGAGAAGCCACAGGGGCTGTCCCAGGGTCTCTCATGGGGGTTACCTTCCACTCGGAGGCTGGCTGTGCTTTTGGAAGACTCCGTCTCACACGTGTACTCGCCAGAATCTTTGAGTGAGGCTGCATGGATGACCAGCATGGCTCGAGTGCCTTCGATGAGAGGCTCATACTTCCGACTCTTACGAATGGCTTTCCCATCCTTCAGCCAGCACACTGGGGTCCCCTCCCGTGACAGCTCACACCTCAGCACCACGTCCTCACCCAGCATGGCCCGCTGGTCTTCCAGTGGCTTCATAATGTCAACTGGCCTCTCTGAAAAGAACAGAGATGGTGGCCCAAGAAGCATGGCCGCAACTCTACCCACGGCCACAGCCCTAGCCATGCCTGGGGTGAGGGCAAGGCAGGCATTCAGGAACCTTCAGGCTCTGAAGGTTGAGACCACAGAATCTACAGCTCTAAAACTTCCAACTCTGGAACCTCAGACCCAGGGGCCTCAGAGCCCTGGAATACCAGGGAAGGACCCCGGGAGGGAGAAAGATTAGACCACAGAATCTTATGTTTTCAGCACTGTTCAGAGTCCTGTGACTCAAAGCATGGCCATGGGCCAGCGCTGACTGTGGGCTGAGCTTCACCCACTGGCGCCAAGTACTCATGCTGGAAGTAGGAGCTCAGAAATGCCAATGGCAATTTCACTGGCTTCACGAGTCATGCACCCTGGGAGCTACCACAGCAGTCGAATCACGGACTGAAGATCAGAAACCCTGCTTCTGCCCAAAGGCTCCAGAACCTCATCCTAGAAAGTAAGCCCCCTGGATGACCAGAAGCCCCCAGTGCTCTGACAGATGCCTCCAGGTGCCAACCAGGGGCTGGGGAGACAGTTCCCAGATGCACCCCCTTCCAGCTTCCAAGCCCAAGGCCCCTGCTCCAGGCTGCCTGGGGAGGGCCCAGGCTCAGCAGCTCCCAAACCAGCCCCTAGAGACAGACCCCCAACCTGCCCCAGCCAGTCAGTTCCCACTGCCACCATCACCCACCTCTGATGATGAGCGAGGCCTTGGAGGTGAGGCCCCGCACAGAGAAGACCACCTCCCCAGCGTCACTTGGCAGAGCATCTCGGACAGCCAGCGTATACTTGCGGCCCTGGCGTGTGGCCCAGAAGCGGCCAGAGCTGCCCACCGTTTTCCCACCAACCATCCATACAGCAACATCGCTAGCGTTCTCATGGGACAGGACACACTCAAAGCTGCAGCTCTCGCCCTCCATCACCTCCACTGTCTTCAGCCTCTTGGTGATGCCCACGTGCAGGTCTGTGGGCCAGAGGAGACAGCCATCACGCCAGCCAGGCCCACGGAAGCCTGCCTCTCGAGACAGGCACCGTCAAGCCTGTAGCAGCCCCAGTCCACACCCCAGGAGGGACAAGACCAGCCCACCGTCCCCAACCCCACTCTCAGAGGGCCTGCTGCCCCTCTCAGCAAATGTCCTCTTGGCCTCCAGCTGTCCACACCTTGGTGTTTGGATGGCTGATAGCTATGCGTTATGACCAGGGCGGCCGCCTTCACATTTGCTATGGAACAATGTGGAGAGAATAAGTGCCGCACACAGTTGTCACCAGCTTCTATGCTCCAGAAGAAGAACAGGCACCCAAAATGAACAGGCAATCCAGCTCTAGGACAAACTCACCACACCGCCCTCCCTTTCCTGTCCCTTTCCTGTCTCATCAAACACTGGCCAGACCATCAGGGACCAGCCACGGGATCACAGGGCAGCAGGCCTGCCATGCACACAAGAGAGAGCAGGACTACGGGGGTGGAGCCAGGACAGTGATGCACCCAGGACGTCAGGCATCCACCCTATAGTTGGGGAACCAGGCCCAGATTGGCAGGAGCATGTGAAAAGCCTGTGGCCTGCCCACGGCCACCTTCACCAGGCTGTGCCATGGCCTGGGAGCCCTACTGGGGCAGCGCCTGCCTGACATCTCGGGCTCTCCCACTCGCCCACTCCAGGAGGCTCTCCTGACCGCCCCTCTGTGGCCCCTGTGCCTGCCCGTACACATCCTCTGGTGCAGAGTGAATGTTTCCAGCCTCTGTAGAATCCTTTACACCTTGGGACTCTATCAAGCAGAGTCAGTCTAGTCTCCCAAGCTTTGCTCTGTTGCCCATCATCCCTGGCCCACCTGCCTGCACCTGGGCCTCCTAGGAGCCTGCCCTGACCTCTCCAGGCTCAGAAGAACAGCCCCTGGTCTCGGAGAGTTGGGTGGGGCCCCCAGGCAGAGGCACCCCCACGCCCAGAGCCACGCCCCCAGTGCCCTGGCGCCGCCACCTGGAGCCGCTGCAGCACGCACCGTGCACGCTGACGTGGGCCCTGGTCTCATCAGTGCCCACGTCGCAGGTGTACAGGCCAGCGTCGTCCCTGCTCAGGCTGTGCACCACGAGTCCCCGAGTGCCCGCTGTGCACGGGAATTCATACTTGTCACTGGGGCCCAACTCCATGCCGTCTTTTCGCCACACCACACGAGCCTGGTGGTCAGAGACCTCGCACCGCAAGGCCAGCGTGCCCCACTCCTCCACGGACACGTCGTCCAACGCCTTCAGGAACACCACCGGCTTCCCTGCAGGGAAGGTGTGGGAGACTGAGGGGACGAGCTGCCACCTCTGGCCCTCGGGATGCCAGGTGCACATCCCAGGGGTCCCCAGAGACCCCACAAGGACACCTCACCTTTGACCTCCAGGCGGGCCGAGGCCATAACTTTGGGCGAGGAGGCGCATACGGTGCCCGTGTCAGCCCATTGGACCTGCTTCAGCACCAGCGTGTGGCGGCGGCCCTCATGGGTAATCTCATGTAAGCTGTCGTTATACAGTGGCGTCCCATTGAGCGACCACTCCACCTCCTCGTCCTCGTGGGACAGCTCGCAGGAGAAGCAGGCACAGCCCTCCTCCGTGACCTCCAAGTCCTGCAGTGGCTGCGTCACCGTCACCTCCCGCACTGCCAGGAGCACACCAGGCAGCTCAGCACGACCGCCATCACCACCTCCCCTAGAGACCCTCTGGTGGCCCTGTGCCCCCTCGCTCTGTACCTTCCACAGTAACCTCGGCGCTGCTCTGGGCACTGCCAGCCTGGCACCGGTAGACACCAGCATCCGCGGGTCTGAGCCGCAGGATGCACAGCTCTGCCATGTGGCCCTCCAGCCTCATCTTGAACTTGTCAGATGGCACCAGGGGTGTCTCCTCCTTGTACCACTGCACGGTCTTGGGGGCTGGCTTGAAGTCACAGGACAGGACTACCGACTGCAGCTCGCGCCCCACCTTGGGCTCTAGTGGCCGCGTGAGCACCATGGGAATGTCTGTGGCAGAAGGAAAGAGGGAAGCACTGCGTAAAGTGGGCCAGACCACAAGGCCATAACACCTGCCCCTGCCCTGCCCGCTCTCCATCTGCAGCCAAACCGCCAGGCAGCGTACTTTTACCTGAGACGACCAGGCAGGCGGTGGAGCGTGATTTGCCAATGGTGAAGTGCACCGGCCCAGTCATGGTGGAGCAGGTACGCCGCAGCGTCAGCCGGTGCACTGTACCCTCCTGTTCCATTCCCACGTCAGCCCCTGCCTGCAGCACTGTCTTCCCCAGGAGCCACTTAGGCGGCCGCACCGAGGGGATGGAGGTCTCACACTCGAACCAAGCAGGGGCAGGCTCCATCACCGTCACATCCTGCAGGCCCCGCACGATAGTGATGGATTTCTCTGTGGGCGAGCGGCCAGTCACTGGGGCAGTCCCGGGGGAGGATCACCAGCCACCCCTCCTGCAGGGTTGGCGTTACTTCCTGGGAACAAACCCTCTCAGGCATGCTCACTTCCTCCCTGGGGTGACCCAACGCGCCCAGTCAGGTCCTTCTCAGACCTGGCCACCTCTAAGTGCCACAGGCTGTAACACCTCCCCTGGCGGAAAAAAGGAACAGCTGCCCACCCAGCCCTGCCCGAACCTTCCACAAAGAACTGGGCACTGGTCTTAACATCGCCAGCATCACAGGTATAAGTGTCCTCGTCCTCAGGCTGGACGGCGTTGATGACTAGCTGGCGGTAGAGGCCGTCACTGACCATCTCATACTTGGCCCCAGGCTGCAGTTCCACGCTGCCCTTGAACCACCGCACCTGGGCACTGGCCCTCGACATCTGGCACTCGAGCACACCACGGTGCTTCTCTATTGCGATCTTGTCCCGCAGCGGGCGTAGGATGGATACTGGCAGCTCTGTGGGTACACCCAGCAGGGTCAGGGCAGGTGCACAGTGATCCCGAACGCCCAGGGCTGGGTGCTGTGGCTGTGCATCTTCCAACCAGCCGGACTGGGACATTATGCTCAGGCTAAACAGCCTATGCCGGCCCGCCCACCAGAGCCAGCAGACAGCTACTGAGTGTTGCCCTCGGGCTAGTCTGGGACTTGCTACTCACATCTGACCACAAGGACACTGGGCACACACCCACACTCGCTATCATCCAGTGGGCCTCATCATGCGCGTGCCCGCCCCACTCCCCCACCCCGCCCGTCCTCTCGCCACACAGCCTCACCCTCATCCTGCACACCCCCGAATCCCTTGCACCCTGCCCTCACCTTAGGCATCCAAATGCCCCACACCCCTGCCCCCTACCTGTTTCTAGACCCTTTCTCCCTCATGCCCCGCAGCCACTTTGACTGTCATCAAGGCCACCAGGTAAAGCCTTGTGTGCTTACTTCCTGCCAGGGCCTCACACCTTTTCTCTCCAGCACTTGCTTCAGTCCCAGGAAGGAGAATTCATTGGTACCTCCATTTTACACAAAGAAGGAGACCCCAAGGCTGCCTCCCCTAGGCCACTTTCTTCCTGCCAAGGAGGGAATACCCCCTTTCCCTCCTCCTGGATCACTGCTGTCCTCATTCCAGGAGGGACCCCAGGACAGGGACAGCTGGCCTTTCAGCCCTGTGAGACTCAGTACCCATGCTTGTTCACACACACGCTGTCCAGCCCATGCCCTGCCCTGAGCCGCCATTACCTTTTACTCGGAGCTGGGCTCGTGATTCTGCACGTTGTGCTACAAATTTGATTTCCCCTGCATCTTCCACCAGGACCCTCCGATAGATGAGAGTGTATGTCCTTCCTGGGAACAAAGGCCACTCAGCACTAAAGGGAGGGGTGGCCTGGGGGCGGGAAGGAGGAGAAGCCCTGCTGAAGCCCACCCACCATCCTCATCTCACCTTCCTGGCGGATCCGCACATTGTCACTGGGCCGAAGCTTGCTGCCCTCCCGGAACCACTGGGCAGGCACCTCATCGTGGGAGACCTCGCAGGAGAAGGTGGCACCTTCCCTCTCCATCACTTCTACATCCTCCAGAGGCCTCACGATCTGGACATTTCGGCCTGGGGCAAGAAGCAGGCCCTGCTACATCCTGACACGCAGAGCTATCTGACTGCTACCCCCCACCCCAGCTTGCTGAGGGAGTACAGGATGGGTGGGGCAAGAGCAGAGCCAGAGGGCCAAGCACTTGCTGGGTGACGCAGTGGGGGGCCAGGAGGTTCTTGCACCCACCCACCCAGCCCTCACCTTGCACCTTCAGGGAGGCCGAGCTCTGAGCATCGTGGGCATCACACACATACACGCCCTGGTCCCCAAGCTCACATCGGTAAATGATGAGACTCCTGCAGGCCCCCTGGGCCCCCATGCCCACCGTCTTGCTCCCCCGCAGCTCCACACCGTCCTGTGGAGGAATGAGGCCAGGTCAAGTGCTGGAACTGCCCAGCAGAGTGGTCCCATTCCCGCCCACCCATGGTGAGAGGTAAGAGGGGGCAGAGGAGTCCAAGTTCCCAGGCACCTTCAACCAGCGCACATCCACATTGGGGCGTGAGAGCTCACAGTCTAGGACCACCTTGTCCTTTTCCGTGGCCACCACATCCTGCAGAGGGCGGCTGAACTTCACAGGCAGCTCTGGAAAGACAGGAGGGGAATGGTGAGAAGCAGGGCCTCTGGGCAGGGACAGGGCCTGAGCTGGTTGGAATCATTCAGCTGGTTAAAGGAATGAGCCCCAGGCTTCCCTGGTGGCGCAGTGGTTGAGAGTCCGCCTGCCGATGGACGGGACACGGGTTCGTGCCCCGGTCCTGGAAGACCCCACATGCTGCGGAGCGGCTGAGCCCGTGAGCCATGGCCGCTGAGCCCGTGCGTCCGGAGCCTGTGCTCCGCAACGGGAGAGGTCACAACAGTGAGAGGCCCGCGTACCGCAAAAAAAAAAAAAAAAAAAAGGAATGAGCCCCTCGCTCCTCCAGGATTCCATATCCCTGCCCATAGCTGTCTCCCTGGGCCACCTTGGGGACAGGGGCAGGTGCTCTGGAGTGAGTCCCGCCCCACCTATGTCCACCTACCAGTGACCACCAGCCGTGCAGATGTGTGCACGCCCTCCGCCCTGAAGGAAACCAGGCCACTGTCCTGCCTCTGCAGCCCAGACAGCGTAAGGGTATGGGTGGGGCCGTGCACCACCAGCTGGCACGTGGGTCCCGGCTGGAGCCGAAGGCCATCTCGAGTCCAGCTGCCCTCCACATCAGCATGGGACAGCTCTACTTCCATCGTGGCTGTGCCCTGCTCCTGCACCTCCACTGTCTGCAGGCCCCGCACAAGCCGGACCTGGCGCACTATGGGACAAACAAGGGGAAGGATGAGCCACTGTAGCAAGACCCTGGCCCTCGGTCCAGCCCCCATCACTTCCCCAGGGAGCCTCAAGGTGCTCTGGAAGGGGAGGCCTGCCCCTCCAGGTGGATGCCTGCCCCCTCCTTCACTCCCTTCCCCACCTCCCTGGCCCCTGCAAGTGAAGGTCCACCCCTTCCTCCCTCTTTCCCTTTTCCCCCTTTTCCAGGGCCCTGCCCCCAGGGGGAGATTCCCTACCCTCCCCAACTCCTCGATGCCCAACCCCCAGGCCAAGCCCCCTAAGCTGCTCACTTTCCACAGTCAGCTTGGCCTGCGTCTTATCATCCGCTGTCTCGCAGCCATAGAAACCACGGTCAGCGAAACCCACACTGCGGAGAACCAAGCGGTGACTTGAGCCCTCGGCGTGTATCTCCACATTCTCGCCTGCCACCAGGGCCGCGGCGTTGCGTGTCCACTTGACCTCCGGCCATGGCCGCGTCAGCTCCACCTCCATGGTCACCGAGCTCCACTCTTCCACAGTCTGTGGCTCCAGCTTTTTCTTGAACAACACTGGGGCCTCTGGAGTCACAGGAGAGGGAGGTCATTACAGCCACTGCCACTCTCAGGAAAGCAAGGCAGAGGGACCCTGCCCCAACCCCCAGCCAGCAGAGCTGCCCTCCACCACATTCTGACTCCAAGCTAGGCAAGGCCTTGGCCATACTCAGGGCCCAGCTGCACACATGCACAGGCACAATTTTGTGGAAGGAAACCACACTTCAGGGGGGCTTCTCCTTTCCCAGTCCCCCTCCCACCTCCTGCTCCCCTGCTCTGAACAACTCCTGCCATCCCCCACCAGGGCCTGGAACTCCTAAGTGTGGCCGGTGACCAGGAGCATTGGGACACAGGGAGCCACTGAGACAGGCCGACTCTGAGCTCCCAGGCCGGCTGCACCACAGTCTCTGCTTTAACTAGGCCCTGGATGCGTCACATTAAGGAAGAGAAACGCTAGAGTGAATCTCCCAGTCTCGGACTGTGCCATGATCTCCGCAGAAGTGCATCTGCCTGCATTACTCCCTGACTCAGGAACCTGAGATGGCTTGGCTCCCACTTACTCTCAGGTAACGTGCTGGCCCTCCCCCATGCAATCTGGCTTCAGTGAGCAAAGCGCACCCCCACCGTCTGCATCTGCTTGCACTGGCTGCCAGTTCCAGTCTCTCCCACCTTGCCATCCTCTGGGCTCAGCAAGGATCATCTCCTCTAGGACGACTCCCTGGAGTGTCTGAGCCTCCACCCACTCCCCGACCAGGTGTGCACTACAGGAGTTTACCATCTCCCCTTTAGAGCAGGTGCCTGGCCCCTCGGTCTGACCCTACTCTTCTCTCTGCAGCTGACAAACCCTGTGTCCTCTGAAGTCAGCCAGATGAGCTGGATACAGGCCAGCAGCAGGATGCTACCTTGGGACCAGCCCATTAGGAGACGCCTGCTGCGAGGAGCCGGTGCGCCCTTCCTGCTGCCCCACACACGCACCTCGGACCCGGAGGGCAGCCACGGTCTTGATGCCCTCAGCCTCCGCGGTGATCTGGCCGGCATCCTCCAGGGCCAGGCCCAAGATAGTCAGGCTGTGGCTGGCACCCTTCTGCGATATGAGAAACTTCTCGCAGGACTGTAGCTTGACGCCATCCCGGAACCATGTCACCGCCACGTCGCTGGGAGTCACCGTGCACTGGAAGGTGGCCTTGCAGCCCTCTTCCGCGACCACTGCGCTCAGCCCAGACGTGAACTTGACCACGCGGGGGACTGCGGACAAGAGCTCCACTTGAGAGGCAGTTAGGAGGGGCAGGGGCCCCCACCTAGCAGACGCCGCGGAAGGACACCTCTTTGGGAAGCAGCCCTGGAATGCTCCGCCAAGCCACCCACCCACCTGGGCGGCTCAGCCCCTGCGCCCGGCATCCACATACCGCTCACGGTGAGCATGGCGCTGGTGTGGTCGTCGCGGCTCTCGCACACGTACTCCCCCGCATCTTCTGCCCGCAGGTCCGACACAGTGAGCGAGCGCTGAAGTCCCGCAGCTGCCATCTGGAAGCGTTTGCCGGCCCGGAGTTGCGTGCTCCCGCGGCGCCACACCACCTGGGCCTGTGCCGGGCTCAGCTCGCAGACCAGCTTCACTGTGCCGCCCAGCTCCCCGCTCACGGGCTCCAGGGGACGGCAGAACTTGGCAGCCACCTCTGGGGGAGGGGAAGGGAGGGGACGTCAGCCTGGTGGGGCTCGGGCCATAGGACCAGCTCTGAGCTGCCCGGTCGTGCGCCCTGAGCCTCACCCAGTCTCCACTCCAGGACACTGCAAACAAGGGGTTCCCAGAGGACCTCCCCGTGGCCCCACTCACCTTCCACTTGCACCGGGAAGTCCTGCTCCTCTGCGCCCAGGCGGCAGCAGTAGACGGCACTGTCCAGGATCTGTGCGCCACGCACAGTCAGGGTGTGGGTGTCCCCCAGGCTGGCCGTCTCGTGCCGCTTGCTGCTGCGAATCTCCACACCATCCTTGAGCCAAGTCACCGCGGCCACAGAGGGTGCGGCCAGCGTGGCTGTCAGGACGATGTCCTCGTGTTCCCTGACCACCAGAGGTTCCCTGCGTCTGGGTCTCTCCAGGGTCGGGGGCTCAAGTTCCGGCTCTGGGGGGCGGGGGCGGGGGGTGACCAACAAGCATTAGAGGGGAGACCTTCGCATCTCTGGCCTGGGTCCCATCCCCCCTCCAGGCCACATGGTGGGAGAAGACTTGAAATGAAACTGCCCGGGCTGTCCAGCTCTCCACTGCTGCCTCTCTGCTGAGCAAGCCAGACAGTGAATGCAACAGGGCCACACTCTGTGCCAGGCCCCATCCCGGCTCACAGGGGCAGTGCAGGGCAGCCAGGAGGGACTACCTGGGGCCACAAGCTCTGTCCCACCAAAAGCTGAGAGTCGAGGATCCCTGCCCCCATCCCCAAGGGAAGATGGGCCCCATGAGCAGCTAATGCACGGAAAGTAAGGCACAGAGTGACCCTGACACAGCCTGGGGGCTGGGCCAAAATTCCAGAAGAGCAGTGGGGAGCAGGGCCAGGAAGGGAGGCAGAGGAGGACGGTCTCAGTAGAAGAACCCCCATGCGGAGTGGAGAGACCAGGCAAAGACTGAGAGGGATGAAACAGCCTGAGAGCCTCCAGCAGCCAAGCAAGGGGGCAAAGCCAAGGCAGAGAAGGGGGAAGGGGAAGGCCCTGGGAAGGGACCCAGGAGCGTCCCTGTGAGGGCTGACCCAGGGGAGCACCTGGAAGGACCACACTGGCTGATGGATTGGGGGCAAGGGCCACAGCTGGGGACAGGGACAGTGTCAGCCACCTCAGGACACTGAAACCCAGTGATGTCGTTGGCAGCCAGGAGGGATGGGAGCAGGCAACAAACCAGCTTGGCTCAGGCCCAGGACAGGATGGGCATCTGAGCAGAGGCCGACACAATGGGCTGACCTCAATGCAGCTGGACGGTCAGGGCCCCAAGGCCAGAGACAGGGACTCCAGACCCAATGGGGGTAGGGGCATCCAAGGCCAGAAGCTCCTCAGAGCAGGACTGGGTTCCACAGCTGCCCACGAAGACTTAATATGGGAATAGTGCCCCTTGCCAACGACAGACAAAGAATGGCCATTTCAGCAGACTACAGGCCTTAGCAGCCTGCAGATGACTGAGAAAGCCTGTGGCAGGTTTCATGCTGGGAGAGGTGGGGATGTGATGGAGAGATGCAGGAACCTGGGGAAGCAGATGCCAAGAGTGTCCTGGACCAGGGGCTGTGGCAAGCATCCCGCAACTCAAGGACCTTCCCAGTGGACAGAGCCCTGGGGCTGACTGCATCAGAGGAGAACCCAGCACAGGCCCAATACACACATGTCCCCCACCCTGCTGGAGATGTGCTAATTTCCCCCAATTTGTCAGGTGCTCAGCCTTTACACCCAACCCTGGCACCCACCTGTGACATCCAGGTGGAAGGAGACCCTCTGGCCCCCGGCCTCGCAGCTGTACTCCCCGGCGTCTGCCTTGCCCGCCTGCTGCACCACCAGCCTCCGGGTGCAGCCCGTGGCCTCCACACGCACTTTCGAGCTCGAACTCAGCTTCTTTCCATCCTTGTACCACGTCACCTCCGTCTGGGCCTGGGCCACCTCGCAGCTCAGCGTGGCACTGGCCCCCGCCATGGCCTGCACTTCACTGCGTGCCGGCTGCTCCTTGGCAAACACCGCCTTGGGCTCTGGGGACAGGAAGGGATACACGGGTCAAGGACACCATCTCAGTCAAGAAGGCAGCACTGGGGAAAAAAGGCCTGGACAGATGGGAACGGGGGCTGGAAACTTCTCCAGGCTCTGTGCTAGCTGTGCAACAAGTACCCACAATTTATCTATACATTCTACCACTGATCTGTGCATGTTGTTCCAAGTGGGGACTTTGTGAAAGATTTCTTCCATGCACATGTTCCTCTAGGAAAGAAACTGTGGGATCAGGAGGCATGCACACCTCAACCTTCCTAGAGGATGCAGAGTCTTTGCCACACGACTGAGCAGAGAACGTTCCCACCCACAGTGCAGGAGAGTTCCTGAGGCCCCATGCTGTTGTCAGCTGTTGGCAATCTGGTAGTTGTACTTCCTGAGCTCTCTTTTGCATGGTCCTGATGATTTAGAGTGGAGCACCATTTCTGATCTTTTTGGCTTTTGGTGTTTGCCCTTCTGTAGTGTCATTGCAAGGCTTTTGCCCAGTTAGCAGTAGCATTGTCTGTCTTTTCCTTATTCATTTTCAGGAACTCTTTATATATTTATGTTAGAACTTTGAGAATTATGGGTGTGTAAATAACTTCTCCATCTTTGTCACTTGTTTTGTCATCTTTTATGTGTCTTCTGTTGATATAGTTCTTAGTTTTAATACAGGCAAGTATGTCAATTTGTCCCTTGTGATTAATGCATTTATATCCTATTTAAGAAATCTTTTATTACCCTCAGGTCATTAAATAATCTAAATTAGCTGCTAAGAGCTTGCTTTATCTTTCACATTGGAGTCTCTAACCCACCTGGAGTTGGTGTTTGTGTGTGCTGCGAGGGAGATGTCCATTTTTATTATAGAGGAATAGATATAAAAATAGAGATATATGTATACAGTTACATGGTATTAGCACAGTTTATGAAAAGACCATCCTTTCTCTATACCACACACTAGCACTACAGAGTTAAAAAACAGAAAAGGGATGGGGGAGTCTGGTTATGTGCGGGGCTGTTTCAGAGCTCACTATTCTGTTCCTTTGTTCTGTGTATTTATCCCTGCATTGAAACCCAGTTGTCTTCACTACTGTAGCTTTATAATAAGTTTGGTATCTTGCAGATGAAATGCTCTCACTTTATGAGTGCTTCGGTTCCACTTGACTCTTGGAATCAACTAGTCAATTTTGACACACCCACAAAAGAACTTTTCTTTGGGTTTTGATTAGGAGTGGACATCTTTGTGTCTTCCATGCATATCCCACCATTCATTTAGCACTGTCTCCCTAAAGTATTTAATAATATCCTCCTCAGAAGCCTTAAACATATTTTATTAGACATGGAATTAGAAGCATGATACTTTTGATGCTATTATAATTGTCTTAAAATATCCTTTTCTGACTCTTTGTTGCTAGTACCTCAACATAGAAGCGTTTTCTGTGTATTTTGTATGTGGCAGTCTTCCTTAACTTTCTTACTAACTCTAAAAATTCTTCCTTTTCTACCTTCTGCATTAATAATCTTATCATCGGTGAAGTCCACTTTTACTTTTTCTAAATTTTATTGCTTTATGTTCCTCCTTATAGGCTGTACAATGTTGGACACAAGTCCTGATAGTGGAGCCACTTGAAATGCCCCAGTTAAAAAGAAAAGCTTTCAAGGTTTCCCTATAAGTGTGATGTTTGCTGTGGTTTTCTTTAGCACCCTGTATCAAATTAAGAAACTATCCTTTTATTACTAGTTTATTAAGAAGTTTATTAATATGAATATATGCTACTACATTTCATAAAACTCTTATTCTGAATATGATGCAAAAAATTTATCAAGCACTTTTATTCTGCATTCTTCTAGGTAAAAACATGCTTTTTCTCTTTTAGTTTCTTAACATTATAGATTGTATTGATTTTTCTTATGTTCTGATGTTGAACCACCCTTGCATTCCTGGATTAAGAGCTGAGTGTATTGTGCTTTTCATGCATTGCTCCACTCGCTTTGCCAATACTTTGTATAGGATTTTGATATTGACATCCATAAAAGACTGGCCTGTAATTTCAATTCTTTATACTGTGTCAGATTTTGGTATCGATGCTATATGCTAGCTACATAAAATGAGTTAAAGAGCATATATATATATATATATATATATATATATATATATACACATATCTA